GCTTTTACTGTTTATGTGGTGCTGAGGAATCGAACCCAGGGCTTTGTGCGTGCTAGGAAGCACTCTACAACTAAGCCACATTCCCAGCCCATGTCATGGGTCCTTGAAAATAAGCTCCTTAGGAATTAAAGAGAGTAATGTGTACAGTCTGGACCTGTCTGGGCCCAGGGGACAGGGTTGGGGATGAGTTACTTCCTGGCCACGATGGGGACAGAATTTCCTCATACTCCTTGAATGGCATGTAATTGAAAACAGCATGCGTTTATTTCTGGAATTTTCCATCTAATTCTTGGGGGACTGTGTGCCTAGACAGCCCTGAGGGAGGGGGGGCTTATGTCTGGGTGAGGGGGAGGGGAGGGAGAGGGAAGTATCCTGTCTGGGTTCCAGGTCCAGCCTCCAGGCCTCTGCTTTGTGTTTCTGGTTTGTAAAAGGTGGTGGTGGGGGGGGGGGCATGACTAAGTCTTTCCTCTGATAGGCGGGGATTACATGAGCTGTTGATATGTGCGCTTGGCACCCCGCCTGGCATAAGTAAAAGGACTTCAGGAAGTTCTTTAGTGTTTCTTCCTCCCTCCCCCTGCCTAGTCTTGGAGCTTAAACTCAGGGCCTGGGTGCTGTCCCTCAGCTTCTTTTGCTTGAGGCTAGTACATACTACCACTTGAGCCACAACATCAGGTCCAGTTTTTTCTAGGTAGTTTGTTGGAGATAAGAAACTCATGGATTGGGCTGGGAAGGTGGCTCAGTGGTAGAGCGCTTGCCTTGCATGCCTGAGGCCCTGGGTTCGATTCCTCAGCACCACATAAGCAAAAAGAAAAAACAAGCCGGAAGTGGCGCTGTGGCTCAAGTGGTAGAGCGCTAGCCTTGAGCTGAAGAGCTGAGGGACAGCGCCCAGGCCCAGAGTTCAGGCCTTACGACCGGACCCCCCCCCCCCAAAAAAAAAAAAAAAAGAAAAGAAACTCATGGATTTTCCTGCCTGGGCTGGCTTTGAGCCGTGATCCTCAGATTTCCACCTCCTGAGTTGCTAGGATTACAGGCGTGAGCTACCAACTCTCCGCTTCATGTTTCTATTAAGGTTATTTAATGTTTGTGCAAGAAGATGTCTAAGGGGTGTACATCCTGTCTCTGAGTGGGTGCCTCATTTGTCTGCACTGCAGAGACCTTTATTTATTTGTTCATGTGTGTTTTTTATGTGTTTGCTTTTCATGTCAGTGCAAGGGCTTGAACTCAGGATCTGGGTGTTTTCCCTTAGTGTCTTTACTCAAGGCTGGCACTCTACCACTTCAGCCGTAGCAATACTTGTGGCTTTTTGCTGGTAAAATGGAGATAAGAGGCTTGCAGACTTTCCCTGTCCAGTCTGGCTTCAAACTCATCTCTCAGCCTCCTGAGTAGCTAGGATGACAGATGTGAGCCACTGCCTCCCAACGTGTGTTTTTGGTTTTAACAGTGTCTGTGGCTCCTGAGAGATCAGGTGGGACCGTGGCTGAGGCCTCTAGTAGAGGAAGATCCCAGCTTGAGGGGTCCTGAGAGCTTTGGGAGGGATGCTGCTGAGCCCCAGTCCCTGCCCGCTCCCTGCTTTTCTCAGCGGCCACTGCTTGGTCACAGGGGTGGGTGTGAGCAGTGGTTAAGATCCCCAGATTTGTTCCGTGACCCTGTGAGGCAGGGTCAGGCCCTAGGCAGGAGATGGCAACCAAAAGCACCAAGCTGATAGGTCTGTGTTTTCTAGCTGCCATTTCTCAGGACCCATTGGTGGCTGCTTGGGCCCTTGGGCCAGGGCGGGGGAAAAGACTTGGGGTGCCAGTTCCAAGGGCTGAGGGGGGCAGGATGCTGGCTGATTTATAGCTGACTGTTGGTGAGGCCATAAATTTCTATAAACCGTCAATGTTCTCATGGTGGTGGCAGAAAGGGGGGGGCGGGAAGCCATGTATTCTCCCCCAGTGCCCCCCTAAACCTGGGTGCTTCAGTATCCTCGCCCAGGCCTGGTGATATGGAGCCCCTGCCCTGGTGTCGGGTAGGAGCCGTTGGTAGCATCCGGCCCCGATGCCCTGCCGACTTGGGGTGCTTCTAGGGACGTTCCACAAGCCGGGGCAGGGCCAGGGTTGGCCCTGGGCTTCCGCGGCCCCAGCAGGATGTCACGTAAGGCGTTGCGAAAAGCCCTGGTCGCCTGCTTCCGGAGCCTTCCACCGCCACAGCCAGGGCGGCAGGGACGGGGACCCTGCTGTCCCCTCCTGGGCCGCATGGATGGACTGACCAGGCCCCAAGGCCTGAGGGGTCAGCAATGGAGTCCGGTGAGGGGCCGGGCTGGGAGGGGTGGGGGAAGGCGCGGGCCGGGATGATTGACATGTGGCCAGGGCGGGTCCCCACGGCTGGGGCTTTGGTCTGAGGGACCCAGGTGGAAGCCCTGCCTTGGGTAACTGCAGTTTCCCCCTGGGGACCCCCCCCAAAGGGCTTGGAGGGGGGCCAGATGTGGTTGGAACCCCCGGCACCTGTGAGATGGGCCAGCAGATACACCCTAGAGGCCTTGGCTTCTGGAGACACAGAGATGAAAGAGAGAGGGGTCTGTGAGCCCTGTGGGCTGGACTGGGGTCCCCTGTCCCCCTATGATGCATATGGATCCCTGCAAAGTCGCTTCATTTCTCCATGCCATGGTGAGCTTCTCTGAGGGCCTCCAGGGTATGAACGAGACCATCCTCTGGGCTGGCCCAGGCTGGTACCTGCTGGGTGCTGTGCCCACCTCTGGGTTGGGGACTGGGCTCATTGGGGCTAAGTGCCAACCATCATTTTTATTTATTTGCTTATTCATTTATTTTTATTTGTTTGCTTTTGTGCTGGGTGCCCATCCTGGGGCTTGAACTTGGAGCCTGAGCACTGTCTCTGAGCTCTTTCTTTCTTTCTTTCTTTCTTTCTTTCTTTCTTTCTTTCTTTCTTTCTTTCTTTCTTTCTTTCTTTCTTTCTTTCTTTCTCTCTCTCTCTCTCTTTCTTTCTTTCTTTCGTTTTTTGCTCAAGGCTTGAGCCACAGCTTTCTCGGTGGTTAATTGGAGAAAGTTCTCATGGACTTTTCTGCCTGGCTTTGAACCATGATCCTCAGATCTTATATTCCTGAGTAGCTGGGATTCAGCTGGAGCCACTGGTGCCTGGCTGAACCATTATGTTTTTTTTCTGTCTTTTTTATTGTTAAATGTCAATTCCCAAATGAACACACACACACACACACACACACACACACACCCATGCACATATGCTGGAGTTTGAATTCAGGGTCATACACTCCTGGCTGGCACTCAATCACTTGAGCCACACCTGCAGTACTTATTTGGACTTTTTTTTTTTTGGTCAGTCATATGGCTTGAACTCTTGGCCTGGATGCTATCCCTGAGCTCTTCAGCTCAAGGCTAGTGCTCTACCACTTGAGCCACAGCACCACTTCTAGTTTTCTGGTGGTTAATTGGAGCTAAGAGTCTCATGAACTTTCCTGCCCCGGCTAGCTTTGAATGGCCATTCTCAGATCTGAGCCTCAGATCTGAGCTACTCCTGAGTAGCTAGGATTACAGGCATGAGCCACAAGTGCCCAGCTAGTTTGGACTTTTTTTTTTTTTTTGTCGGTCATGGGGCCTGAACTCTGGGCCTGGGCGCTGTCCCTCAGCTCTTCAGCTCAAGGCTAGCGCTCTAGCCACAGCGCCACTTCCGGCTTTTTTTGTCCTTATGTAGTGCTGAGGAATCGAACCCAGGACCTCATTCATGCAAAGCAAGCACTCTACCACTGACACCTTCCCAGCTCTAGTTTGGATTTTATTTTTTATTATTTTGTCATAACAAAGGTAACTACAGAGGAGTTACAATTAAGTCAGGTAATGAGTACATTTGTTTTTGACAATGTCATTTTTGCCTGGCGCTCTCCCTCAGTCCCCCCCCCCATTCCCTCATGTAAGTTGTAAAGTTCATTTTCTACATAGTGTCCAGTGTGTGCCACTGCTACATTTATTCACCCTGTCCCTTCATTTCTGTGCCTCTCTTTATACTTCTAAAGACAGATAAAGGAACAAACAAGACAAAAGAGAAAGCAAACAGCAACAAATTATAAAAACTCCCATTTCCAATTCCTGGCTTTTTTGAGACAGAGATTTTGCTACATGCCTGGGCTGTCCTTAAATTTAGGATCCTCCTTCCTTAGCCGCCCGAGCGCTGGGATTACAGGCAGGTGCCACTGTGCCCCGCAAAAGGAGGCAGATAAGCATTTTGAGACCCAGTAAAGAAAGCCTTTTGCCCCAGAGCTCCCCAGCCTCTCTCTGGCCTCTGACCCCTCCCTCCTCCCCCTGTTTGCCTAGGGTTCCTCTTGGTGGGGTAGGGCAGGAGTGAATATTTGGAGCTAGGGTAGGGCAAGACCCTGGGAGGCATCCTGTTGTTCATGTTTCTGGCCAAGTCAGGTGTGTGGCAAGCTCGGGCAAGGTGTCCTTTGAAGCACTACTTGGTCTTCATAAATGGCCCTGATGTGTGGAGGCTGGTCCTGGCTAGGGTGCCCTCATCCCAGACCATCCTTCTGGCTCTTCCCAGCTCTGGGCCTCAGTTTCTCCATCTGGGAAATGGGTGCACAGGGCCAAAGGAGCACTCACAGAACTGTGCATTTGCAAGGATGCTGTGGGTTTCTATGAGAAGTCATTCCGTGGTGGATGGGGGTCCCCTACCCCGCCTCCACACCCTAGAGCTCCATGACGCTCAGAGCACAAACCCTTTCCCCACCTCTGGCCTCCCCTCCCCACTCTGAGGCCAGTGGGGGGAAGGCCTCTTTGGGGGTGCTGAAGGCTCGGGGCTGAGATTCACCGGGCAAGCTCCCTTTTGGCTGCGTCTTTGGTCTCCAGGCTTCTCCAAGCCCTGGGAGGGGCATGGCCCAGGGACTGGTTGGGCAGGGGATGTCCATCCCTTGGGTGTCTTTCTGGGGCCCTGGGGTTGTGGTGGGCCCGGATGGCAGCGGCCTGGTTGGCTACCTGACACCCCCTTTTTCTCTGCAGGTGAAGCCCTCTTGGGCAGTTTTGTGGCCAGCGGGATGGGGCCCTCAGCCTCATCCCAGGGGAGCCCGGTGTCCCTGCCCTCTGACCTCTCCTTCCGCTCCCCCACCCCCAGCAACCTTTCCATGGTGCACCTGTGGGCCACCCACGCCCATGAAGGTAAGGAGCTTGCGGGCAGGGCTGAGGGCTGCTGGGCCATTGTCCCCCAATGATGTCCCTCATTTTATGTCCCTAGTAGTTTTTGAGTCCCCTTCCCTGCTGTCTCCACATCTGCGGTCATCCTTCTTGCTCTGCGTAGTTGGGTCCAGCCATGGCCACCTGTCTCCTTGTTATGCCACAGGGCCTTTGCACAAACTGTTCTCTGCTTATAACCCCTCACCTCTGCCTCCTTGGGCTGTGTCCTGCATCTGTCCAGGGGTTGGCTCACACATGCCCATGGGGAATGGAAGATTTTAACGGTGTGATTATTCATAAATCATTGTGGCTTTGCTGCTAGAATGAGCTCTCTGAAGGCTCAAAACTGAGGGTTCTGATGAGATTTAAATTGGAGGATCCCAAGCCCTCCTCCTGGAGACGCCCTATGTCCTGGCTGATGATAGTCCCGCCAAGGCCTCATGTGAAGACTGAGGGCCTCTAGGCCCTTCCCCGCTTTTTCCTGGGGTCAGGGGTAGACTGAGCATGCCTTGAATCTGTCGCCATGGCGCTGGGTGCAACTGCATTGAACCTGGGAAGCAACAGCCGGAGGCCCAGTGTCCAGGGACAGGGGACCTTGCTAGGCCCAACACTATGGCTTTCCCAGTTACTTGGGGAAAGGCCCTGACTTCTCAGAACCCAGGCATGCCTTCTGCACAAGGGGGACACAGGCCCAGGGATGGTGGGAGCGTTTCTGAGCTTCCATCCTGCCTGAGCCCCACGCCGCGGCCAGCCAGGACAGGGGACAGGCCGTGTAAGCACATGGGCCGCCCCTCTGGGGCCGGGTCGCCACCAGCTCATCCCACCAAGACTGCTTTTTCTGTTTGGCCCACAAATCCTGGTGCATCCTGTGATCCAAATAACAAGCAGAGGGCTGGAAATGTGGCTTAGTAGTAGAGTGCTGGTCTAGCATTCATGAAACCCTAGGTTCAAGTCCTCAGGGCCACATAAATAGGGAAAGCCAGCTGGGCACTGGTGGCTCACGCCTGTAATCCTAGCTAGTCTGAGGTTCACGGTTCAAAGCCAGTCCGGGCAGGAAAAGTTGGTGAAACTTTTTTTTTTACTAATCATGGGGCCTGAACTCTGGGCCTGGATGCTGTCTCTGAGCTCTTCAGCTCAAGGCTAGCACTCTACCACTTGAGCCACAGCGCCACTTCTGGCTTTTCCTGCTTATGTGGTGCTGAGGAATTGAATCCAGGGCCTCATGCATGCAAGGCAAGCACTCTACCACTGAGCCACCTTCCCAGCCCGTGATGAAACTCTTATCTACAATAAACCACCAGAAAACCAGAAGTGGTAATGTGGCTCAAGTGGTAGAGAGTATACCTTGAGTTGAAGAGCTGAGGGACAGTGCCCAGGCCCAGAGTTCAAGCCCCATGACCCACCAAATAAATAAATACAAATCTATCTATCTAGCTGGGTGCCTGTGGCTCACTCCTGTAATCCTAGCTATTCAGGAGGCTGAGATCTGAGGACCACGGTTCAAAGCCAGCCCGGGCAGAAAAGTCTGTGACATTCTGATCTCCAAAAACCACTAGAAAACCAGAAGTGGCGCTGTAGCTCAAGAGGTAGGGCACTCGCCTTGAGCTGAAGAGCTGAGGGACAGCGCCCAGGCCCAGAGTTCAAGCCCCATGACTGACCAAAAATTAAAAAAATAAAAAAATCTATCTATCTGTCTGTCTATCTACCTATCTATCTATCTATCTCTAGAAGTGGCTCTGTGGCTCAAGTGGTAGAGGGCTAGCCTTGAGCAAAATCAGCTTAGGGACAGTGTGCCCAGGACCTGACTTCAAGCCCAGGACTGGCAAAAACAAACAAAATCCAGAAATCATGGTACTGGTGTGGATCTGCTGGGGGCCGGGATGGGAAATGGGGTGGCCTTAAGCTCACTCATTGTAAGAACTAAGAGGCCAAGGTGCTAATGCCATGAATGAGAGCCTAGTGTCTCAGACCTGCCTCTGAACCCTTGCTCACTGATTAACTGACACACTAAGCACCAGGCTGGCCTCTTGGATTTATGGTGGTTAATATCTTATCAGGTGATGTTGGGGGGGAGGGGGTGGTGCTAGAAAGAGGGGGCAGGAAGGGCCGAGTCCTCAGGGATCTCCAGGAGGACCCAGTTCTAGGCAAGACGTGAAAGACCTTCATTGGGTGCCCAGGCCCCTGCCTGTGTTCAGTGGCCAGGTCTCTGGCTGGTGGCAGAGCCTTGGGGCCCTCATTCCTCCTGTATGGGCCTCATTTTGTGTCCCTCATTCTAAGCACGATGAGTGTGTGGGAGGGGTCCTTTTAGCATCTGGGTTGACACTGGGAGGGAAAGTTCCCAGCATTCACTTGTGTGGTCTCCAGCCAGCTATGGGGAGGGGTGGTGGTGGTGGTGGTGGTGATGTGTATGCCATGTGTTCAGAAGCAGCTAGTGACTGACTGGGGACACAGCAGAGAAGAGGGCCTCCAGATTCTGCTCAGAACTAGGGTTCTCCTACAGATGTCCCTCCCCCTCCTTCCCCATCGCCTGATGTGACCTCGAGCACCACAAATCCCAGGTCCAAGCTGGCCAAAGCCAGGCTGCTGTGCTGTGTGTGGTACTTTGGGCAGGTTGTTCTCTCTGTTTTTTTGGTTGATTTATACAATGAGAGAGGAAGAGCACCGGCCTCTTCAATTTTCTCTTTTTTTGGGCAGTACTGGGATTTGAATTCAGAGCTTTCCACTTGTTAGAATTCAGAGCTTTACCACTTGAGCTCTTTGCTTTAGTTATTATTTTTGAGTGAGGTCTCTGCCTTCTGTGTAGCTGGGGTGACAGGTGCAGGCCCGGTATCCAATGCTTGGTTGAGTTGGGGTCTTGTGACACCACCTCCCTCTATGGCCTCAAATTATGATCGTCCCTCATCTCAGCCTCCTGAGTAGCTAGCATCGCTAGCATGCTACCTCACCATGCTTGGTTTTGTGTTTTTGTTTTTGTTTTCTGAAACTTCTAGCACTCAGTAGGTTAGTCCAGCCTGATCTCAAATGGTTGCTTCTCCTGCCTCAGCCTCCAGTGCTGGGATTACAGGTCTGCACCACCATGCCCAGTTGCTTTTGAGATTAAGTGAAAATAATAATGACATGATTGGGCTTGGCCAGGCTTGGTAGGTGTCCAGCCTTTCCTAAGTGAACCCTTTGGGATTTTCTTCCTGGGAGATTTGAACCCAAGTTCCCGAGGGCTGCCTGCGCTTGGAGTCCAGCCAGAAGTGGCAGGGCCAAGAGCCTGGCAGGTGTTGACCTGGGAGCTGGTATTCAACCCCTCACCCCCTTGCGTAAGGCCTGCTTTTAGGGGCCTGACAGCCATAACAGTTTACCTCCAAGGAGAGCGCTGGAAGGAAGCTTTTGTGTGAGGTGTAGCTGGCTCTCTCTTCTCTCCTCAGGCTTTGCGCACCTGCCCAGCAGCCTGTACCCATCTTACCTCCACCTGAACCACCTGGAGCCCCCCAGCAGCGGGAGCCCCCTCCTCAGCCAGCTGGGCCAGCCCAGCATTTTCGATACCCAGAAAGGTCAGTGGCCTGGGTTGGGAGGGAGGCATGGTGGGGGGCTTTCTAGGGGGGTTCTCACTAGCATCCCAGATGGCCCTCCAATTTATTTATTTATGGTGCCAGCCCTGGGGCTTGAACTGAGAGCCTGAGCACTGAGCTTTTTGTTGTTGTTGTTTTTGTTTTTTGTTGTCCGTTGTGGGGCCTGAACTCTGGGCCTGGGCGCTGTCCCTCAGCTCTTCAGCTCAAGGCTAGCGCTCTACCACTTGAACCACAGCGCCACTTCTGGCTTTTTTTCTGCTGATGTGGTGCTGAGGAATCAAACCCAGGGCCTCATGCATGCGAGGCAAGCGCTCTACCACTGAGTCAACTTTTCATTCCAGGCTCCACTTCCACCTTTTTGGTGGTTCATTGTGGAGATGAGTCTCATGGACTTTCCTGCCCCGGCTGGCCTCGGACTGTGATCCTCAGATCTCAGCCTCCCCGGTAGCTGAGTGACAGGCCGGTAGAGGGTTAAGGCTCCTGTCGTTCTCTCCTCCGCAGATGGCTTCTACCTGCCAGCCCCGGGGGCCCCAGGCGCCCTGCACTCGCACGCGGCGTCCTCCAGGACCCCCAGCGGCCCCGCAGCAGCCAAGAGCTCCGCGCGGGACGGGGCCAGCAAGGAGCGCGCTGGCCGGGGCGGCGGCGGCAGCGGTGGGGAGCCGCCCCCACTGTTCGGCAAGAAGGACCCTCGGGTGCGGGAAGAGGTGGCTGGGTCTCGGGGCGTGGTGGACCTGACCCAAGAGGCGAGGGCGGAGGGGCGGCAGGACCGCGGCCCCCCGCGCCTGGCCGACCGCCTGTCTCCCTTCCTGGCCGAGGCCAAGGCCAAGGGCGCGCCGCCTCCCGCCGCCCGGAGCCTGTGCGGCGGCCCTGGGGACCCAGGGCTGCCGCCCGCGCTGGTGACCGAGGCGGTGGCGCGGCAGGACGAGGGCCCCCGGCTGCTGCGCCCGCCCGCGCCGCGGCCCTGCGGGTCCCCGCCGCCGCTGCCTCCTCGGCCGCCGCCCGGCCCCGGGCCCCCGGGCCCCGCGGGCGTCTTCGCCGCGTTCCGCGAGCCGGGCCGCGAGCACCGCGTGGTGGCGCCCACCTTCGTGCCTTCCGTGGAGGCCTTCGAGGAGCGCGCGGGGCCCATCCAGATCGCCTCGCAGGCCCGCGACGCCCGTGCCCGGGAGCGCGACGTGACCCGGCCCGGGGTCCTCCAGGCCCCTCCCGGCTCCCCACGAACAGACCCTCGCTCCGATCGCCCCGAGATCCTGCGGGAAAAGAACTCGGTGATCCGCTCGCTCAAGCGCCCGCCGCCGCCCGTGCCCGAGGCCGCCCCGGCTCGCGGGGCCCCTGCGCGCGCCTCCCCGGCCCCCAAAGAGCCGCCCAAGCCGGAGGGGGAGCCGCGAACCTGCGATCGCGCGGCCCGCGGGCCCGGGGCCCACGCCACCAGCGCCCGGCTCCTCGGCCTGGAGCCCGCGCGCCCCGCCGCGCCCGCCGCGCCCGAGCCCAAGTGGAAGCCGCTGGAGCTGGGCCACCTGGCCACGGCGCAGATGGCCGCGCTGGCCGCGCAGCACCACCACGCGGGCCGCGCCGCGGCCGACGACGACGCCCTGGCCGCCGCCAAGAAGGCCTACCTGGACCCCGGGGCCGCGCTGTCCCGCAGCCCCGCCGCCTGCGCCCGACCCGGCGCCGCCGACCTCGGGGAGGCCTCGGCCATGCAGAGCCTCATCAAGTACAGCGGCAGCTTCGCCCGCGACGCCGCGGCCTTGCGCCCTGCCGGCGCCGGCGCCAGGAAGAACCCCTTTGGGGGCCTGGGCACCATGAAGCCTGAGCCCGCGCCCCCCGCCGCCGGAGCCCCCCGAGGAGCTCAGGCTCGGGCCCCGCACCCCGGAGCCCCCGCGCCCGCCGCCGGCCGCCAGCTGAAGCGAGACCCCGAGAGGCCGGAGAGCGCCAAGGCCTTCGGCCGGGATGGGCCCGGAGCCCAGGGCGAGGCGGAGGTGCGGCACCCGCCCGTGGGCATCGCAGTGGCCGTGGCCCGCCAGAAGGACAGTGGGGGCGGCGGCCGCCTGGGGCCCGGGCTGGGGGACCAGGAGCGGCCCTTGTCACTGAGCAGCGGCAAAGGTGAGTGACCCACCCGGGCGCCCTCCCTCTCGTCGCCCTGCCTGCCCATCCACCAGGGGCCCCGAACTCGGGGCCTCTAGTGTTTGCTTGGCTTTTTATTGTTGTTGTTGCTCTATTGCTTGAGTCCTGCCTGCACTTCCAGGTTTTTGCTGGTCAAAGATAAGAGTTGTGTAGATTTATCTGCCCAGCATTGGCTTTGAACCAGGATCCTCAGCTTCCTGAAGAGCTAGGATTACCGTGCCTTGTTAGGGTTTTTTTGTGTTTTTTTGTTGGTTAGTCCTGGGACTTGAACTCAGGGCCTGGGCACTGTCCCTGAGCTTCTTTGGCGCAAGGCTAGCACTCTACTACTTGAGCTCCAGCACCATTTCTGGCATTTTCTGAGGAATTGAACCCAGGGCTTCATGCATGCTAGGCAAGCACTCTACCACTAAGCCACTTTCCCAATCCCTTGTGTGTGTGTGTGTTTTCTCTGATGGGCCCAGATCTTGAACTCACATCTGGGTGCTTGCTGTCCCTGAGGGTTTTTTTTTTTTTTTGCCAGTCATGGGGCCAGAACTCGGCCTGGGCACTGTCCCTCAGCTCTTCAGCTCCAGGCTAGTGCTCTACCACTTGAGCCACAGCGCCACTTCTGGCTTTTTCTGCTTGTGTGGTACTGAGGAATCGAACCCAGGGCCTCATGCATGCAAGGCAAGCACTCTACCACTGAGCCACCTTCCCAGCCTCCCTGAGGGTTTTTTTTTTTTTTTTTTTTTTGCTCAGGCTAGTGCTCCCACTTGAGTCCCAGCTCTACTTGTGGCTTTTTTTTGTCCATTGTGGGGCTAGAACTCCGGGCTTGGGAGCTTTCTCTGTGTTCTTCAGCTCAAGGCGAGCACTCCATCACTTGAGCCAACAGCACCACTTCCGGTTTTCTAGTGGTTTATTGGAGATAAGAGTCTCATGGAGTTTCCTGCCCAGGCTGGCTTTGAACTGTGATCCTCAGATCTCAGCCCCTGAGTAGCTAGGATTACAGGCATGAACCACCAGTGCTCAGCTTACTTGTGGCTTTTTTGATAGTTACTTGGAGATTAGAATCTCACAGACCTTCCTGCCTGGGCTGGCTTTAAATTGAGACCTTCATATCTGAGCTTTCTCAGTAGCTAGGATTAAAGGCGTGAGCCATGGGTCCCTGGATGGTTTTGTCTTTTTGCCCAGTCTGCACTGGACCCCTAGTCTTATACTTTATGTAGCTGGGAATAATAGGCATGAGCCACCAAACCCAGCTTGATATGATAGTGGGGGGAGTAGGGAGAGGATGGCTGACTTTGAACTTGTCTTCCTATGTCTGTCTTCTGAGTAGCTGGCATTACAGGTGTGTTGTACCACTGTAGCTAGCTGGCTGGTATTTCTTATAACCTAACTCTCCTGGCTCCCTGGCTTCTTTTTCTTTGTCTTCTCATACTGTACCCCTTTTCCCACTGGTCCGCTGTGGTTGCTGTTGGAAGTTTTATTACCTTTCCAGTTATGCAAAATGCAAAAAAAACAAACCCCATAAACACATTTTTTGAAAAAAAGATAAAGAAGGCAGAGAAAGGAGTATTTTGTCTTGCTGGCATACTATAGACTTTCATGTCTCTGGGAATTCGTTTTGCTTTGCCATTTTCTTCTACCCATGGAGCCCAGCGCACCCAGGACTCGGTTGAATTCCCCCCCCCCCCTTCATATTACAATGTGGGGTCGTTTCTCCAGCGACGCCAGTCTTTGGAATTGTCTTTTTTTTCTGTTTTGTTATGGCCTTTCATATTCTGTGCTGTGCATGCAGCAGCAGGCGTAGAGTTTAGGCCTTCATTCCCTGGTGGGTCCTTCTTGGTGCTGTCTCCCCCCCCCCCCCCCCCCCCCCCCCATGTTTTGTGTTCTGAACGCTGCACGGAATATTTTTGTGCATTGCGCCTCTGTGAGATTTTTGAGTCATTTTTCTAAGAATAGAGGTTCCTACGAATAAACTTAACCTGAAGCCTTCAATCCTGAAGCATGCTTGAGGGAGGTGTTGCCCGGCCTTTTCTACTTTATACATCCAGATGCTGTCGGGGTGGGCCTGGCTAGAACAGGTGCTAGAGAAATGAATGAATATTTGTGAGTGTTTTAGGAAGTAAGGGACCCGTGGTTTGTTGTTGTTGTTTTTGGTTGTGGGGCTTACATTCTGGGCTTGGGCCCTGTCCCTGAGTTCTTCCACTCAAGGCGAGTACTCTACCACTTGAGCCACAGCACCACTTATGGTTTTCTAGTGGTTTATTGGAGATAAGAGTTTCACAGAATTTCCTGCCCAGGCTGGCTTTGAACCATTATCCTCATATCTTAGCCACCTGAGTAGTTAGGATTACAGGCGCGAGCCACCAGCGCCTGGCTTGGTGCCCGTGTTTTTATGGACTTGGCATGCAGGACCTAAATGACTTCCTAAATGACTTGTTTAGGCAGTTAGATCTTTTTACATTTTTCTTTTGTTGTTTTCAGACAGGATCTCCCTGCTAGCTCTGGCTGGCCTCAAGTACAATCCTCCTGTCTGGGCAGGGGTGGAGGGGGGAAGGTTGGGGGATTTGTGGGGTTTTTTGGAGCCATACTAGAATTTGAATTCAGGTCCTTGTGCTTGCTGAGCTGGTACTCTACCACTTGAGCCATACACCCAACCCTGCTTTTTGCTGGTTTATTTGGAGTTAGGAGTCTACTGAGCTTTTCTGCCCAATCCTCTTGAGTAGTTTAGGATTACAGGCACCTCTTCCTCTTGATTGATGGGGTTACAGGTATGCACCACTATACTGGGCAATAGTTAGATTCAGATTTTTTTTTCCCCTTGTGGTCCAGGGGTATGAACTCAGGACCTGGCACTTGGTAGGTAGGTGCTCTACCACTTATGCCACACCTCCAGCCTTCTTTGCTTTCATTTGGTTGCTGAGCCAGGATCTTGCTATGTAGCCAGGCTGGCTTTGAACTTATGATCCTTCTGTCTCAGTTCCAATGCTGGAATTATACTGGACTGTGGTGGTAACTGTGTATCTTGCTCTTCCCCTAGATCTCCTCCTCTTTTCTCTCTCTTTCTGTCTCTTTTTCTGTCTCTCAAGTCAGGATCTGGTTATGTTGTTTAGGTTGGTCTAGAACTCTCTACCTAGGACCAGCCCTTAGGTGGACAGCAGGGTTCCATGCAGAGCAGGGTGTAGGGCTCCTTTCTGTGGGGTGACCGTGTAAGCAGGGCTCAGGCCCTGGGGGGCTAGGGAGGGGTTAGGGGTTGAGGCAGAACCCAACCTAGTGTGGGGTGGGGTGCAGTGGGCATGGCTCTGTTTTTTTCTTTTTCCTTTTGTCGATCATGGGGCTTGAACTCTGGGCTGGGGTGCTGTCCCTGCACTCTTTAGCTCATAGGTGAGTGCTCTACCACTTGAGCCCCAGTGCTACTTGCGGTTTTCTGGTGGTTAATTGGAGATAAGAGTCTCACAGGACTTTCCTGTCCAGACTTTGAACAGTGAACCTCAGGTCTCAAGCCTCCTGTGTAGCTAGGATTACAGGCGTGAGCCACCAGCGCCCGGAGGCATGGCTCTTTTCTTTGGCCTGATCCAGTTTGTGGCTGCAGTTCTGGCTCTGGGGACTGCAAGGCACCGCAGTGGGCGGGGAAAGGCCTGGGAAGGCTCTGGGCTTGGGGCAGAGCTCAGACCCATCCTGGCCCTCAGGAGCACCGTGAACTTGGGCTTATCATCTGCCCAAGGGTGGCTGTCCCAGTCCTGGTTGGTCCATGGGCCCTGGTGCGTCTCTTTTGGAGAAGGAAGTACTGGTCCTGGGGGTTGAACTCAGAGTCTGGGCGCTGTCCCTGAGTTTCTTTACTCAAAGTTGGCATTCTACCACTTAAGCCACAGCTCCATTTCTGACTTTTTGCTGATTGCAGATGAGTCTCATGGATTTTCCTATCCCAGGCTGGCTTCTAACTCAGATCCTCACATTTCAGCTAGGATTACAGGTGTGAGCCACTGCATCAGCCACACTCTTGATTTCTAAAGCATAGCTGCAGAACTCTGGGGGTGACCCTCTGTGTTTTGGTCCTGAATGGAGCTTGGTGCTTCCTTTCTGAGCCTCAGTTCTCTTAAGTTGCCATGCTCAGGCCTCCCTTGCTTGTCCTGCTTGAGGGGAACCCAATTGGGCTCAGCAAACATGGGCTCCTAGTCCTGTCCCTACCCAGCTGGATGCCCCATTGTCACTTCAAAAGCACTTGGCCGGTTAGGTATGGTAGCTCAACCCTGGAATCTCAGCTACTTGGGAGGTGGAGATTGGTGGATTGTGTTTCAAAGCTAGCCCAGGCATAAAGGTTCTCCAGACTCCATCTCACTCCATGGCTGGATGAGGTAGCACACGCCATCATCCCAGCTGGGAAGGACAACTTAGGACGATCATAGTCTAGGCCTATCAAGACAAAGTAACACCTTAACTTGGAAATAACCAATGCAAAAGGAGCTGGAGAAGTGGTTCACGTGGTTGAGCACCTGCCTAGCAAGTATGAAGTCCTGAGTTCAACCCTTATCACAACCGAGGGAAAAAGAAAAACTACTGCATGACTAGCGCTGGGGATATGGCTGCTGTGGTTGCCCAGCATTTGGGAGACCCAAAGTCAAATCCCAAATAATGCAATCCTGTCAATAAAATAAGAAAGAAGTGCGTGGGTGGCAATTAGGCCTTTCTGGACCCTAATCCTCCTATTGGTGCTTTCTGCATAGCTGGGCTGATAGGCATGCACATCCTCATGATCAGCCATTGATGGAGATGAGGTCTTCTGGCTAGCCTTGAACCGTGATCCTCCACTTAGCCTCTTGAGTAGCTGGGATCACAGGTTTGAGCTGCCATGCCCAGCTATATTTTAAGATCTGTCCTGGGGCGGTGGGGGATGTAGTTCAGTGTTCGTAGCACAGAGGATCCCCCCCCCCACACACACACACATGGTACATCCCAGGGTGCTGTGTTGTGCGGGAAGCAGCCATGGAGGGCCTTGTGGGTCCCTGGGGGTGGGGGGCAGAGGTGATGGTGGGGTGAGGTGGGGGGTGCCTTGGGGCTTACTACGGTCTGGGCCTAGCAGGGCACAGCCGGGCGGAGGAAGGCTGCGTGGACGAACGTTCCAGACACCGGGAGGAGCGGCTGCTCGGGGGCCGGCTGGATCGGGAGCAGGAGAAGCTGCTCCGGTAAGTGAGGGGAGTTTTTTTTTGGGGGGGACAACCTCGGGGTTCCCCCCCGCCGGCCCTGGGCATCACCCCACTTCTCGCCATGTCTACGCTGACCCTGTGTGTCTTGGTTTGACAGGGAGAGCAAGGAGCTGGCTGACCTTGCCCGCCTGCACCCCACCAGCTGCGCCCCCAACGGCTTGAACCCCAACCTCATGGTGACTGGCGGCCCTACACTGGCGGGCTCGGGGCGCTGGTCGGCGGACCCCGCGGCTCACCTGGCTTCACACCCCTGGCTGCCCAGGTCCGGAGGTTCGTCCATGTGGCTGGCAGGACATCCGTACGGTGAGCGCGGCACGGGGGGCTGGCGCCTGGCATGGGGGCGTCATGTGGGGGCCTGGTAGCACTGACTGAGCTGCGGTTCTCCTCTTAGGCCTGGGCCCCCCACCTCTGCACCAGGGTGTGTCCCCTGCCTTCCCGCCCAGCTTGGGAGGCTCCCTGCCCTCCACCTACCAGTTTGTCCGGGACCCCCAGTCCGGCCAGCTGGTGGTCATCCCCAGCGACCACCTGCCGCATTTCGGTGAGTTCCTCCCGCGGGATGGGGGGGTGCAGGGCCCTGGGGGGGGATGGGGCCGGGGAGGGAAGCAGCCCAGCTCAGCCCACTGTCGCCCGTGTGTCCGCAGCGGAGCTGATGGAGCGGGCCGCGGTGCCCCCGCTGTGGCCGGCGCTGTACCCGCCGGGCCGCGCCCCCCTGCACCACGCGCAGCAGCTGCAGCTCTTCTCACAGCAGCACTTCCTGCGGCAGCAAGAGTTCCTGTACCTGCAGCAGCAGGCCGCCCAGGCCCTGGAGCTGCAGCGCAGCGCCCAGCTGGTGGTGAGCCCCGAAACCGAGAATAAGGGAGGACTGGGAGGGAAAAAGGACCGCCGGAGTCCAGGAAGGCTTCCCGGAAGAGGCGGCATTTAAGCAGAGCCTGAACAGCAATGTGCAAAAGGCCCAGGAGTAGATGGAATGTGGCAGGAGCAGAGGCAGACTGGGTCCGGTCGTGGGGCCTGAACTCTGGGCCTGGGCGCTGTCCCTCAGCTCTTCAGCTCAAGGCTAGCGCTCTACCACTTGAGCCACAGTGCCACTTCCGGCTTTTTTCTTTTTGCTTACGTGGTGCTAAGGAATCGAACCCAGGGCCTCAGGCATGCAAAGCAAGCGCTCTACCACTGAGCCACCTTCCCAGCCCCATGGGTCAATATTTTGGAAGTTATTATTGATAATACTGGGATTTGAACTCAGGGCCTCACCCCTGTTCTGTAGGCTCTCTACCACCTGTCACAACTCCAGACCTTTTGCTTTGTTTATTTGGGGGATAGCATCTATGTTTATGCCCGGGCCAGCTTGGACTGCAGTCCTCCTGCTACACCTCCCTTAGTTGGGATGACAAGGAGTGTGCTTATTAATTGATAGCTTTTGTTATTTTGTTCCAGTCCAGGGGCTTGAGCTCAGGGCCTGGGCACTGTCCCTGAACTTTGCTTGTTTAAGGCTAATGCTCTACCACTTGAGCCACAGCTCCACTTCTAAGTTTTTTGTTAGTTTAGTGGAGATAAGAGTCTCATGGACTTTCTTGCCTGGGTTGGCTTCAAATCATGATCCTCAGATCTCAGCCTCCTGAGTAGGATTACAACCACTGGTGCCCAGCTAATTGCTAACTTGTTCCCCCTGGCTGGCCTCAAACCACAGTCCTCCTGATCTCTGCCTCCTGTGCAGCTGGGATTATAGGTGTGAGCCACTGTGCCCAGCATGGAGCTGTCAATTCTTTGTTGTTGTTGCTGTTACTGTTGCCGTGTCTGGCCCTTGTAACCATTGGCTCTAATGGAGTCTTTCCTTCTCCCTCTGTTCTGATTGGTTATCAAACACGGGGACGACAACTCCATGGTCCCCTGTCTGAGATGCTTTGGTGATCGTGCAGTGAAATGCTGAGCTGCTAGTGAGCACCCCTTATGAGCACGGCCGTGACACAGATACTTCATCCATGCTGGCTCCTGGCTCTGCCTGGCACTCCTGGCAGGATTATTGGGGTCCATTCATGTGTCCCCAATCTCTTGTGGAGGGACTAAAGGCCTTAGCCCTCATCGGCCTCTCCTCCTCCCCCCAGCCCAGTTGTCCCCTCCCCTCAGCCCTGTCATGTCGCGCCCACCCCCATCCCCCGTTCTGTGGAACCCTGTTTTGTTACACGCAAGTGGCTCAGAATGTGTTGGAATGTGGGTGTCAGGCCAAGGAGGGCCGAGTGGCCCTGACCGTTGCCGGGGGGTCCCCATCGCACTGACCTGGCTCCCCCCCTCCCCCCCTCCCAGCAGGAGCGGCTGAAGACCCAGGAGCAGCGGGCCGACATGGAGGAGAAGGTGGCCAAGCGGAGCCTAGAGGCCACAGCCAAGGCTGGCCTGTCCGCCTCGGGGCCCGGGCTGCTGCCCCGCAAGCCACCGGGCTTGGGCGCTGGCCCCGCGGGGACCTACGGCAAGGCCGTGAGCCCCCCACCCTCACCCCGCGCCTCGTCCGTGGCCGCGCTGAAGGCCAAGGTCACCCAGAAGCTGGAAGGCGTGGCCTCGAAGCCGCCGCCCTACGCCTACCCCGCCACGCCCAGCACCCACCCCAGCAGCCCCCCGCCCGCCTCCCCGCCGCCCAACCCTGGCCTGCCCCGGAAGGAGGAGGCCCCCGAGAACGTCGTGGAGAAGAAAGATCTGGAACTGGAGAAGGAAGCACCCAGCCCCTTCCAGAGCTTATTCTCAGGTGAGAGTTTGGATGTGGGGCACTGAACCTCCCCCAGTTTGGCACCTTTTTTTTAATTATTGTTTTTATTTTATTTTTGCCAGTCCTGGGGCTTGAATTCAGGGCCTGGGCACTGTCCCTAAGCTGCTTTTGCTCAAGGCTAGCACTCAGTGCCACTTCTGGCTTTTTCTGTGTAGTACTGAGGAATCAAATTCGGATTTTCATGCATGCTAGGCAAGCACTCTACCACAACGCAACATTCCCAGCCCTACTTTATTTATTTTTTGAACAGTACTGGGGTTTGAACTCAGGGCTTCACCTTGGCTAGGCAGATGCTCTACCGCTTGTCCCACACCGCCAGCCCTTTTTGTTTTTAGATATCTTTCAGATAGGGTCTTAAATCTTTTGCTTCAGTCCAGTCTTGGACTGTGATTTCTTCCACCTCTCTTCCTTCTGAGGTAGCCAGGATGGTAGGCATTACTACCTTGCCCAACCAATCTGTTGTTTGGGATTGAGGGGGAGAGTGTGTTCAATATATCCTCCTGAGCTGGCCTTGAACTAGGATCCTCTTGGTCAGTCTCTGCCTCCACATAGCTGTGGGATTAAGCCTCTGTCTGCCTTCATTCGTGTCTTCTGTCTCTGTGGAGCATGTACTGTTCACAGAGTGGACTCTGGAGCGACCATGTGTGTGAAGTCTCTCCTGGGCACTGGGGTGTGAATTCGGGCTGGTAGCGTGGTGCTTCTAGCATCTGCCTGGCCCCTGATTCCATCTTGCCCTCAGTCAGTTTCCTGAGGTCAGCTTCCCTTGGTCGGCACCTCTGCCGTGCCCAGGTCAGAGCCAGGCTCTTGGCAGCTTCAGACAGTCTTTGCACATGGCCCTCTTCCTGGGGAAACTGTTCAGACCGCGGAGAGATGGTGGAGTGAGGCAGGGTGGCCATGTTAGCGTGCTCTCTGGGGGCAGGTGTGTTGCCATTTGAGCCCATACCCCATGCTCCTTTTTGCTTTAGTTATTTTTCAAGTAGGGCCTCTTTTTCTTATGCTGGGGTTGACCTCGGTTTGTGATCCTCCTATCTCAGCCTCCCGAGTAGCAGGGATTATAGGTGTGTACCTCTGCACTCAGTCCACAGTTACTAGGCTTTGCTTTGGGGGGGGGGGGGGGGAGGCAGGTTTTCCTGGGATGGAGCCCAGGCAAAAGACTGGGATCTCATTGAATGCATGCTCCTGGTGTAGCCTGGTACTGAGTGCTTTTGGGGGTGGGGGGAGAATGTCGGGGTGGTGCCATCCCTGCCATTCCCTGGGGCCCCAGGCTGGCGGCCCTGAGCAGCTCAGGCATGGGAGGGGGGTGGGGGGGGGCGGTGTCCTAGGAGTGGTGGGTGGCCCCTGCCGGGGACAGAGGGGCTGGCTGAGCTCTATTTGGGGGACTCACCCCTGACTTCCTGTGTCCTTGGCAGAAATCCCCCCCAGGTACCCGTTCCAGGCCCTGCCTCCACACTATGGGCGCCCGTACCCCTTCCTGCTGCAGCCCACCACGGCTGCCGATGCCGATGGCCTGGCCCCTGATGTGCCGCTGCCTGCCGACAGCCCCGAGCGCCTGGCGCTGTCCCCAGAGGACAAACCCATCCGCCTGTCCCCCAAGATCCCCGAGCCGCTGGCCGAGGGCCACGAGGAACCGCAGCTGGCCCCGCGGGAGGTGAAGGCCGAGGTGGAGGATGAGGATCAGGGGCCCCCGGAGCTGCCTCCCATGGAGTCGCCGCTGGCCCTGCCCGTCCCTGACAGCATGGCGGCCTCCAGCCCTGCGGGCGGCTGTGGAGGCAGCTTGTTGGAGGCCCAGGTGTTGAGGCCCACCGCGGAGCGGGCGGAGGACTCGGAGCTCACGGAAGGGGTAGAAGCACAGGTGGAGATGCAGGGCCGGACAGAAGACCTGGAGCTGGGGACCCTGAGCCCCGAGCCCCTGGTGGAGACAAAGGAGGAGCCGGTGGAGGTGCCCCTGGGCGTGCCTGTAGGCCGCCCCGTCGCGGAGGCCGGGCCGGAGGGAAGCCTGGTGCAGCCGCCTCTCAGTCAGCCCCAGCCCAGCCCGGAACTGCCTGTCGGAGAGGGCCAGTGTTCTAACCTGGAGACCCAGGAGGCCGTCCCCGGGCCCGGCCGGGCCTGCTACCTGGAAGAGACTAGCCTGGGCCATGAGGATCCCCTGGCTGGCATGAACGCCCTGGCAGCGGCGGCAGAGCTACCCCAGGCCCGGCCTCTGCCCTCCCTGGCCACTGGAGTTGAGGCTGTGGAGAAGCTGGACACAACTCAGAACTTGGCCTTGGAGCAGAGCTTCCTGCAAGGCATCACGCTGCTGAGTGAGATTGCAGAGCTGGAGCTGGAGAGGAGGAGCCGGGAGGCTGGAGGTCAGTGCCAGGTGTGGGGTGGGGGGGCCTGCTGTTTGTGAAGCATTTTAATAAGATGGTTTTTTTTAACGTATTTGTTCTTAAAGTTGGTTGTGGTAGCCCATATGTATAATCCTAGCTACCTGGAGACAGAGATAAGAATGTGGTATAGGATCAGCCGAGCAAAAGGTTAGTGAGAAATTCCCCCATCTCAACAAATATGCCTGGCAGGATGCCGCACATCTGTAATCCCAACCATGCAAGCGGCAGAGATATAGGATCACAGTCCAAGACTGGTCCCAGGCAAAATACACCAGGCTCTTAGGTGGAAAGGTACTAAAGCAAAAAGGACTGGAGGCATGGCTCAAGTGGTAGAACCCCTGCCTAGCAAGTGCAAAAGCCTTGAGTTCAAACCCTGCAGTATACAGCAAAAACAAAACCAAGCTGGGCTCTGGTGGTTCTTGCCTGTAATTCTGGCTACTCAGGCAGCTGAGATCTGAGAAGCGCGCGCATGCGCGTACACACACACACACACACACACACACACACACACACACACACACACACACACACACACACACACACACACACACACACACACACACACACACACACACACACACACACACACACACACACACACACACCCCACCACACATACCACACCCCCCTGCACCTCTACCCCTGCAGATTCCTATCAGCTACAGTTTATTCCTATTCAATTTTTTTTTTTTTTTTTTGTCGGTCATGGGGCTTGAACTCTGGGCCTGGGCGCTGTCCCTCAGCTCTTTAGCTCAAGGCGAGCGCTCTACCACTTGAGCTACAGTGCCACTTCCGGTTTTCTAGTGGTTTATTGGAGATAGGAGTCTCACGGTCTTTCCTGCCCGGGCTGGCTTTGAACCGCGATCCTCAGATCTCAGCCTCCTGAGTAGCTAGGATTACAGGCGTGAGCCACCGGCGCCCGGCTTCCTATTCAATTTTTTTTTTTATTTTTAATTTTTTAATTTTTTTTATTGTGAAAACACTGTACAGAAGGGTTACAATTACATGGGCAAGACAATGAGTACATTTCTTATCAAGCATTGTAGCCTCCTCCTTTGTTTCCCCTTCCCATCCCTTCCCATCCTCCCCCCTGCTCCCCCACCCAATCCTCCCCCCTCCTCCCCCCATAGTTGTAAAGTTCTGTTTCGACATAACGACTTCTCATTGTTGCAATGGGTCCACCTGTATCCCTATTTAAACGACTTGTTTTACCCCTTCCCCTCCACAAATTATATCGACATCAAATACAGTGAAAGCAGGGGTTATATACTGTGGGAGAGGGACGTACAAAGCAACAAAGAAGGGCTGGGAAGGTGGCTCAGTGGTAGAGCACTTGCCTTGCATGCATGAGGCTCTGGGTTCGATTCCTCAGCACCACATAAGCAGAAAAAGCTGCAAGTGGCGCTGTGGCTCAAGTGGTAGAGTGCTAGCCTTGAGCTGAAGAGTTGAGGGACAGCGCCCAGGCCCAGAGTTCAGGCCCCACAACTGGCAAAAAAAAAAAAAAGCAACAAAGAAATAATCTTATAAATGTGTTAGAAACACATGAAAGAAAAAAAAACATTTGAATACATATCTTAGGGTTCATTTCCCTAACATCACCTTATCTATCCTATTCAATTGTTTATAAAAGTGTGGTGTAAGATATGAAAAGGTACCATCTTGGGAAAGCACCCAGTTGTGGAAAATCTCGTCCCTGGGCTCCTGAGGTGAAATCTTGCCTCATTCTACCAATGACGTGTCCTGTAAGAGCAGAACCCTTGGAGTTGCAAGAGATTTTGCATAGCAGGCAGAGACTTGATTGGCTCCTGGAATCAAATGTTGAGCAGTTCTGAGGTAGCTTAAGGTCTGACTGGATCCAGGGGCTCCACCCCAACCCACAGGACTTTTCTCCTTTCCTTCCCTCCCTCTTCCTGTTCCACTTTCTCTCAGCCTCATTCCAGGCAGGCAGGCAGGCAGGCGGGCGGACGGGAGGGAGGACTCACTGTCTTCTTGGGGCAGAGAGAGCTCTAGTGATTCCTCCTCTGCCCTCAGGCTGCCTTGAGTAGTTTGGCAGACTCATGAATGAGGCCACGTTCTGTTGGTAGCTCTCGCTGGTCCCAGTGCTGAGCCTCACCTCAGGAGCCACCTGGAACTTGAAGCTTTTCGCTATAGCACATTCAGCCTCTGGAGAGTTACATCTGGCTGGTGGGATCTAGCCCCTTCTTCCCCCTTTTTCTGTCCTTTTCTTGTTTTGTGCTAGTACTGTGACTTGAGCCTGGGCAATGTCCCCTAGCCACCAGCATTGGGCCCATGTCTCACCTTTGTTTGAGGATGTCACCTTCTGGGATGTAGGGGGAAGGGAATGCTGCTCAAAGGGAGCAAAGGCCGGGAGTGATGGTCCATACCTGTAATCCCAGCACTTGGGAAGATGGTGAATTCAGTCAGCCTGGGCTACATAGTAAGACCTAATTTCAATTGAAAAAAAAAAAAAAAAAAAAAGCAAATGAAAACACTGTTGCTGGGACTGGGAAGGTGGCTCAGTGGTAGAGCGCTTGCCTTGCATGCCTGAGGCCCTGGGTTCGATTCCTCAGCACCACATGAGCAAAAAGAAAAAAGCCAGAAGTGGTGCTGTGGCTCAAGAGGTAGAGTGCTAGCCTTGAGCTAAAGAGCTGAGGGACAGTGCCCAGGCCCTGAGTTCAGGCCCCACGACCGGACCCCCCCAAAAAAGAAAACACTGTTGCTCCCAACAACTGGGGGCCTGAGTTAGAGCAAAGGACGCCGGTGTGGTACATGCTGCAGCCACATGGTCCACACCTCCCGGGACCGCCCTTGGCTCTTAGGGGGGCCGCAAGCCCCCCTGTCTCCCTTCTGTGATGTTGGAGATTGAACCCTGGCCCTTGTACATGCTGGGCGAGCAGATACTCTATCACTGTAGCCATGTGCCCAGCCTTTTTGGTTTAATTTTCAGATAGGGTTTCATGATTTCCCCCTGACCTTGAGCCAAGATCTTCCTACCTCTGGCTCCTGAGTAGCTGGGAGTATAAGCTTGTGCTACAATGCCCAGCTGAATTGGAGACTTCCACATCTGTAGGCTGGTGTTCTCTCTCCCTCCCTCCCTCCCTCCCCCTCTTGCTTTTCCTCTTCCTTTTTCTCTTTTTCTCTTTCTGTGGCCCTGCAGGTCCCAGACACCGTTTTTTTTTTTCTCATCTCCACTGTCCCCTCCTGAGAACGCTAATAGTCATGTTGAATTGGGACCCTGCCTCACAATCTGGAGAGACCCTGTCACTAATTCCCAGGCCACATTCTCAGGTAGCAGGTTAGGTTCCAACTTAGTAACCTGGGGGCACTAGTGAACCTGGTGGCTGCTCTGGGTACCTCTGTCGTGGGCCTCAGCAAGGAAAGAGGTGGACAGGTCACCTGTTGTAGCACAGAACAACAGATCAAATACCCTGCCATATTGAGGACCCTAACCACACCCTGGTGGTCCAGGGGCAGCCCTGTAAGGTGGGCTGGCCGGCTGTAGCTTAAGTTGGTAGAGTTGCTTCCTGTGGCCTCAGTTTCCCTAAGGATCTATACAAGTAAAACCAGAGGGATGACTTTGCTTCCAGGTGACAGTATTAGCAGTGACAGTTGCTTTCTTTTTTGCCAGGACTGGGGTTTCTTGCTTTGCTTTTTCCACTTAAGGCTGTCCCTTGACCAGGAGAGGCTTTTTGCTGGTTAACTGGAAATGAGAGTCTTTCAGATTGGTCAATCTAGGCTGGTTTTGAACTGAGATCCTCAGATATCAGCCTCCTTGGTTAGTAGCTAGGATTACAGGCTTGAGCTACCAGTGCCTGCCTGGCAGTGATTATCTCTGGTTGTCAGTTACAGTTTGGGGGAGTGCTTCTGACACCTAGTGGTAGAAAGCAGGTACTGCACAGCGCTCTGACTGAGAAGCCCCAAAGTTCATGTCCTGACTAACTCTTCAAGTCCATCTTTGGGACCTTGGATGGCTGATGGTGGATGCAACCCTTTTCTTCTTCTTTGTGTGGGGAATGGTGACACACAAAAATACTCATAAGTAATTTCATATCATCTTCTGGTCCTTGGTATTGAACCGGTGGCTTCATGCTTGGTTAGGCTAGTGCTCTACCAGTTCTGTTACATTTTTAGATCAAAGGGGAAAAATCTCAATTTAAAATGCAACATTTTGAGCCAGGCACAAATGGTTCACATCCGTAATCCTAGTTATCTGGGATGCTGAGATTTGAGGATCAAAGTTTGAAGCCAGCTAGGGCAAAGCCAGAAGTGGAGCTGTGGTTCAAAGCCAGCTCAGGCAAGAAGTTAGCCAGATTCTCATTTTAACAAGCTGGACATGGTGTCCTGCACCTGTTATCCCAGCTATGTCGGAGGCAAAGGTAGGATGGAGGATCGTGGTCTGAGGCCAGCCTTTTCTAAAAAGAACTAAAGCAAGCAATAGCCACAGCCCAAGTACAAAAACTCCTGCCTAGCAGTGCCAGGTCCTGAGTTCGAGCCCTGGTATCACCAAAGAACATGAGACAGCAACAAAACAGCACACCTTCCATACCAATTTTGAAGTCCAGACACTGAGACACTGTGGCTCATGCCTGTAATCCTAACCACTCAGGGAGCTGAGATCTGAGGATCTTGTTTGAAGCTATCCTGGCAGACAAATCTGAGATACTCATCTCTGATTAACCAGCAAAACAGCCAGAAGTAGAATTATTGTAGAGCACCGATCTTGAGTAAAAAAGCCAAACAAGAACATTAGGCCCAGAGTTCAAGCACCAACGCTCTCTCTCTCTCTCTCTCTCTCTCTCTCTCTCTCTCTCTCTCTCTCTCTCCCTCCCTCTCTCTCTCTCTCTCTCTCACACACACACACACACACACACACACACGTGCATGCACACACAACACACTGAGTAGAGAGCAGCTCAGTGTGACAGATGCCAGGTATTGATCAATTCCTTTTAGTATTTACATAGGATGCCCATGCATGTCAGGAATTTTGGGGCATGAATAAACGTTTCTGAAATCATCTGGCAAAAGCTGTTGCCAGGGAGGGGTGTGTGTGTTGGGAGTAGGTTTTTTTCCTTCTTCACACCTGTCTTGGTTTGTATTTCTGTCCTCAGCTCCGATCTCGGGAGCTTACACAGGGAGCTGTGTGAATTCACTGTGGAGAAATTCAGCTCATGGCCATACACCAGTGGCTCGCGCCTGTAATCCTTAGCTATTCAGGAGGCTGAGATCCAAGGATTGTGATTCACAGCCAGCTCTGACAGGAGAGTCTGTGAGACTTATCTCCAATTAGCCACCAAAAAGCCAAAAGTGGAACTGTGGCTCAAGTGGTAGAGCACTAGCCTTGACCAAAAAACGCTCAGGGAGAACACCCAGGCCCAGAGTTCAAGTCCCAGGACATTCCCCACCCTCTACCCCCCCAAAAAAAATACAGTTCCTAGGAGTCAGCCACAGTCTTGGGAAGAGCCTGTCAGCCTTCGGTGACTTTGGAAGTCTCCAGTTTCCTGTGCACTGTCCTGAATCTCAGCCTTAGTCCAGGTGGCTAGGGTGGCTGTGTCCCGGGGCCTGCACTGGCTCTGAGCCTCAGCCTTTTCCCTTGGTGGGCCCGAGTGGCTGCATGAAATTACTGGGCTGGGACCTGGCCCCGGCCCCTGTACCTGCATTGGCTCACCGGCCTCTCCTCCGCAGGCACGGAGCTGGGCCTTCCTGTGCGGCCCTCCCTGGAGAGCCTCCTGGCCGCCAGCAGCCACATGCTGAAGGAGGTGCTGGACAGCCCCTTTGTGGACCCGCTCAAGAACTTGAGGCTTCCGCGGGAGCTGAACCCCAACAAGAAGTACAGCTGGATGCAGAGGAAAGAGGAGCGGGTGAGCTGTGCTGGCAGTCTGGGCATTTTGGGGGGAGAGGGGGAAAAGGGGGGAGGGGTAAGACACACCATTTTGCTTGGGGTCAGAATCTTGACCTGAGTATAGTTTACTTTACTGCTGGGCTTTGTGGTCCTAGGCAAAGTTGCGTTCCCTCTCTGAGCCTTAGTTTATCAGTCAGGTGAGGTTTGATGGGTGGGAAGAAAGCAGCCTAGGAGCTAGGTCTGACGCTGCCCCACGCTATGCATTCGGCTTCCCGCCAGCACTGCCTGCCATGAGCCCCTGGATGCAAATAACAACTTCCGTCTTTATTAACTGAGCCCTCTGGACACACCAGGCCCTGTTTGCCTTTTTTCTTTTTCTTTCTTTTTTTTAATATAATTTTTTATTGAAATTAAGTGATTGCATAAATTTCAGACTTCACAGTATTGTGAGATAGTGATACTTAAAGTCGCAAACACATTTTAATCTTCACAAGGCAATAGTCTATAATATTTGTGAATTCTATGAGCTTTCACAACACAGCTGTTTCTTTCACATCGGGTGGTATATACATTTCTTTCCTTTTGCTTAGTGTTTGCTGTTCCCTCTTTCTCATTCCCTCCCTCCCATCACTGCCCTTGAGTTGTTTAGTTCATTTTCACCCATGTCCAGTGCAGCTGATGGGTCTCTCTGTTGTACATTTTCCCCTGTTTCCCTCTGATTCTGTGTCTTCCTCCTAGCTTCCCTCAGATGTGCGCGTGTATATATATATATATATATATATATATATATATATATATATATATATATATATATATATATATATACACACACCATATATGTGGTCAAGAACATGGAGTCATTTTGCAATGATATGACAAATTGAGTGGAAGCCCTTTGTGTCTCAAGTCCTGTTTACTTTGTCGTATCTCTTTGTAATGTTGGATTTAACATATCAGGGAGACCATGTGAGGCCTTGTTTTTGGTGTGGCACCTGACTCGGTGCTGACACTGCTCTCCGAGTTGGTAATTGGGGAAGGAGGCAGAATCCTTAGTTCTTGGAGGAAGTTGTAGGATTTGAACTGAGGACTTTGCAAGCATTCCTATGTGTCTTCACACCTCTCCTTTCCCCCCTGATGTCGCCCAGATGTATGCCATGAAGTCCTCCCTTGAGGACATGGATGCCCTGGAGCTGGACTTCCGGATGCGGCTGGCTGAGGTCCAGAGGCAATACAAAGAGAAGCAGCGGGAGCTGGTGAAGCTCCAGCGACGCCGGGACTCAGGGTGAGTGCAGCCCGGCCCCGTTGGGCAGTGGCAGGCAGGCAGGCAGGCAGGCAGGCAGGCAGGCAGGCAGGCGGGCCTCAGGGTTGTTAGGTCGGCCGTGGCAGCCGTCAGGTGTGCGTGGATCTGCGTGAGTGGTGTGTGTGCAGTGCATGTGTCCTCTGTGCCCCGCCTGCTCCACGCTCACAGCCCAGCCTGTGATTCTTTTTAAGGGACAGGCACGAGGATTCCCATAGGAGCCTGGCACGCAGAGGCCCTGGCAGGCCACGGAAACGGACCCACACCCCGAGCGCCCTGTCACCCCCCCTGCAAGAGAGGGAGGAGCCACAGCAGTAGCAGAAAGTAAGGCTGGCCCCTCGGCGGGTCGGGGACTGGCACCGAGCTCAGAGGGGAGGAATAGGCCCCCTCCCCCTCCTTCTAGGCCCTCCTCCCTGCCAAGGGACTGCCAAGCAGCCAGCCCTGCTGGCTCCTCCTGCCTCCTTGTGCTGTCACTTAGTTCCCTCTGCTGCACAAGTCTCTGTCCAGGGCCACTTCCTTCAGCCGGGAGGGACAAGGTCCCTCCACGGGCTATGGGATTACCGTGGGGACCAGATCCTCTGGGGGTGGCAGAGCAGCCCCTCTGGAGGTAGTCTTCAGTGCTGGCTTGCCATCCAGGGCTGAGGTTCTGTCCCAAGTGGCTTTGGTCTTCCCTGTGTGTCATTAGAGGGCTGTGGAGGAAAGGGGTGGAGCATTTGTAGTAAAGACACTAAGGGTATGTAGACACAGGCAGCCTTGGGGCCTCCAAAGGGTGCATAGTGGGATGCATCAGACATTCCAGGAGCAAAAGGGCGCCATGGTGCTGCAGGACTTAGCATTAATCTCCTTGGATGCTCCTGACAAGAGAAGAACGGGGATGAGCAAGAGCCGTAGCAGAAAGGGTGTGGGGAAGCAGCTTTGTGTTGTGTGCCAGTGTGGGGCTTCTACTCAAGGCCTCACAGTGTTGTTGAACTTTCACAATTTTTTAATTTATTTTTATTTTTTTGTTCAAGGCTGGCTCTCTACCACTTAAGTCACAGCTCTACTTCTGGCTTTTTGCTGGTTAATTGGCATTTCATGTTTTTTGTTTGCCTCTGGTCTAAGATCCTCAGATCTCAGCTTCCTGAATAGCTAGGATTACAAGCATGAGCCACTGGCGCCCAGCTCAAATGGGCTCGATCTTAATTCCTTTTCCCACCCTGGTGGATTTCCTTGGCATTTATGATTCTTGTTCTTGGCATATTTTTGTGAAGCAGTATCTGTTTAAGGGTGTGGTGTGTGTGTGTGTGTGTGTGTGTGTGTGTGTGTGTGTGTGTGTGTGTGTGTGTGTGTGTGTGTGTGTGTGTGTGTGTGTAAATGCATGACAGGCCAGCAGAGGATGCTAACTTGAAGGTTTTGGCATTTTTTCCCCTCTTCCTTTAACATTAAAACCTCATTCTGCCTCATTCACAAATATTCCAGCCTTCTAGTACTGTAGCTTTACGAGATCTGGTCACCCTCGCATCCATCCCTGCCCTTCCATATTCCAGAGTGCACACCTCAGGGTCTCACAAGGGGTGGCCCTCCCCCCCTTCCCAGAGCCCAAGGGTGGTTTGGCTGGCTAGATGACCAAATGGTATGTTTGGGTTTCAGGTTGAGCAGCAAATCCTTGCTGACTGCAGATGACTACGAGCTGGGAGCAGGGATAAGGAAGAGGCACAAGGGGTCTGAGGAGGAGCATGATGTTCTCATGGCGATGGGAAGAGCCCGGGGGAGGAACCAGAGCTGGGAAGAGCATGAAGCCTCCTCTGACTTTCTGAGTCAGGTCAGTAGCCCACTCTTCGTCTACAATGCAGTCAGGTCAGTAGCCCAGCCTTCCATTTACACTGCACTGAGGTGTAGAGATGGAGTTGTTATTGCTGGGAGTTCCTGTTCCCTTTGGGGACCCCTGCTGCTAACAGGCATTGGGAGAATGGCTGCTGTTCCAGTTGGATGGAGAAGGCTCCTAGAAGATCAGGTACCTATCGAAGGAACAGCCTTAGTGGTAGCGATCGAACTATAAAAGCTACGTCTGTTTATGTGCTTTATGACCCTCTGCTTAAGTCAAACAGGAAGATTATAAGTTCTTAACCAACGAATGCAATTACGCTGTTGTTTAACAGTATAATTGTTTAATGAGTAGCTTCTCCATCCCATACTTGTAAGAAACCAGGGCTTGATGCCATTGTAATTTTTTCTGTGAATTCTCCAGGGGTAATAGGTTGAGAGCCAACTCCCTTGATTTTTCTGATTCTGCAGTATACTGAAATCATCCACCGAAGGCCCTGGTCTCTAAATGCTAATGTTCCATGTCAACCTTCCTCATAAAACCCCATGCAAAGAGGTTGTTTTGGTTGATTTGGTTACTAGAGAGGAATGTCCATCCACATTGGGGCGAGGGAGGGGCGGGGAGGGTGGCTGGGCCCAGGTGGAGAAATAGCACCAGTTTTTGTACATCAAGATCCTTCTTTACTCTCAAATTGTAGTGAGGGATGCTTTTGTTGTTTAAATGACACCCTCCCTGCTTTCCTCCTTAGAAATGCTACCTGATTCCAGCAAATGGAGATTAACATGTTGAAATGCAGGGCATTGATGGCTCTGAAACTGCACATTTCACTTCAGTAAACGACTCCAGTCGATGATAGACATGCAAGCAGGAATTTAATCTGTGAAATCTCTAATTATTCTTTCTGCTTCAGGCATCCAAGGCACACTCCAGGCATTTTCTTGGCAGCTTTAGCCTATTTCGTTGGACAGGCTGGTTTTAGACTGTGCGGTCTCTTGTGTCAGCTGTTGTAGGTGGTTTACAGATAAGCACATCAAGCCAGCTCTGATCTCAGTTTTCAATCGTCATTCTTCCTCTTCTCCTGATTCAGCTGCCTTCTCCAGGCTATTGGGCAACTCTGCTTGCTAGGAGGCACCATCCAGAGCTATGAAAAACCAGTGCCTGTGGCAATTACGGCCAGTGGCAGCTATTTAACCAGTGGTTCTGGGCCTTGGTTATGGGCTGAGGCATTTTGATAAATGTATTTATTATATGTCTTAGTTCACCTTCAGAGCAATCTGGGGATAGCCAGATGCCAAGCTTCCCACTTGAGAGTGTAGGGATTAAGGTTGAGTTAAAGAAACTTTTGGAGGTCAGGCTTGTCAGGACACTATCCTGCTTTTTGGTATTTCCCCGCCTCCCCCGAAAATGTCTTAAACTGTGACCCAATTTGCTTCTCCAGCTGAAGATTAAGAAGAAGAAGATGGCAAGTGACCAGGAACAACTGGCAAACAAGCTAGACAAGGCCCTCTCCCTCACAAAGCAGGACAAGTTGAAGTCGCCCTTCAAGTTTTCGGACCCCTCTGGGGGGAAATCAAAAAGCAATGGGGGCTGCAGCAGGTTCTTGACCCCTTATGACAGCCTGCTGGGCAAGGACAGGAAGGCTCTGGCCAAAGGCTTGGGCCTGTCTTTGAAATCCTCCAGAGAAGGGAAACACAAAAGGGCCGCCAAAGCCAGGAAGATGGAGGTGGGGTTCAAGGTCAGAGGCCAGCCCAAGTCAGCCCATTCCCCGTTCGCCTCAGAAGTGAGCAGCTACTCTTACAGTAAGTAGCAGACGCCGTGTTGCCTTGAAGTTGCTGCTTCTCTCCTTTCCTATTAATCTCTGGGCGGTCTTTGCGCGCTGTTTGTAGGCCAGAAGTGGGTGCACTTGAAGCAGGAGTGCTTGTGATTGGTGGATGCCGCGTTGAGCTTATACCTAGAGACTTCTGATTGGCAGGCAGGACATTCGACTGCTTCCCCCACCTCTAGCCTCTGGAAAGCTTTCCTCAAAGAGACCTGCCATACATAGAGTTTGTGGCTGGTTGGCCTAGAAAGGCCTGGAGTACAACTGCTCTTGAGGGGGCTAGAGGGGTTGATTCCCTTGCCCACCGGAAGTTCATCATGCTCCTAGTGCTGGGCCCAGAAATGGTGGCTTCTGCAGACCTATTTTCGTTGTCTCTGACAGCCCTGCAAGCGGCAGTCATTATTTTGCTGCTTAAGGCAACCTCAGGGGTTGAGGAACAAGTGTGTGCATGGTGGTATGACAGTCCAGCTTGGGGTTACACCTGGTTCTGCCTGGCACCCACCACAGCAGCTGGGTCCCCACTCGGTCCCTACCTACCATGGTAAGCCATGTGCTATTCAGCCTGCACAGTGGAGTCATTGCTTGATGGTCTGAGTGAAAGAGGAGTTCTATTTCATTTGAATGGAGATGGCTGTCGGGGTGTGCATGGGAAGGTGACTGTCACCTGGCTAACTGGCTGGAAAGAGCTGCGCACTCGTGTCTGTGTCTTGGGGACCACCTGCCCAGGAACCGTGGGTACTAAATGTGACTGTTGCAGGAAGGCAAGGGGGGAACTCTCTACCCACTGGTGTTCATGCTAGCAGTCCCTAGGCCCCTGTGGGGTGGAGGACTTGCTGGTTGAACCACAGCTCCACTTCCAGCTTTTTGCTGGTAAATTTGCGGGAGATAAGAGTCTCAGGGTCATTTCTTTAAATGGAGAGCTTCAGATCTCAGCCTTTCTGGGGTAGCTAGGGATTGCAGGCGTGAGCTACTGGTTATGTGTGGGTTTTTACAGTTTTATGTGTGAGGGGTGGGGTGGGGGCATTCAATGTTGAGTGGAAAACTGACACACTTATGTAACCAGGTGTGTGTTTTGGGTTTTTTGTGTGTGTGTGTGTGTGTGTTTTCTTTCCTCTTCCTTTTTTTTGGGAGAGGGGGAGAGAGTGCCAGTTGTGGAGCTTAAACTCAGGGCCTGGGCACTGTCCCTCAGCCTCTTTTGCTCTACCACTTGAGCCAAAGCTCTACTTCTGGCTTATACCAAAAAGAGTCTCATGGACATTCCTGCCAGGGTTGGCTTTGAACCATTGTTAGAATTAGCTCAGGATGTTGAGAAATAGGGACACCCAACTGGAAAGGAACTTAGCAAGGCAAGGTTTACTGCCGCAGGAGAGTGCTCCATAAGCCAAAAATCTGGCAAGCAAGCAAAGAGCAGGCAGGTTGCTCCCTTTTTATCCCTAGCCCAGTGGGCTTTGCTCTTCTGCTCACCTTGGAGGAGGCTCAGGCTCACCATGTACACAAGGATGCAGCTTAATTAACAGCGTGTAACTAAAATTCAAGGAGTTTCTAACAGAAGGTCCTAATTCAAGTGCTCAGGAAAAGGATGTATGTAACTAAAATGTAATTAGCCAGGGCCAAGCTACTTGGCCAATGCAGCAACTCTTCAGGAAAACCTTTCTCTCAAGGTCAACAGAAAGGAAGAAAACTACTTTAGTAGAAAAGACAAGATTTTTCTCAGAGCATGATCTTCAGGTCTCAGCTTCCTAATAGCTAGGGCTACAGGTGTGAGCCACCAGCATCTGGCTTCATTCCTCTTCTTTCCTGTCCTTTTTCCTTTTTATATGTCTCTTCTTTTCCTTTTCCTTCCTGATAGTCTTTTTGGCCTGACTGGCCTTGAACTTGAGATCATCCTCCTGCCTCATCTTTCTGAGAGTTGGGATTGCATATTCGGTATATTCAGCTGCCATATTCAGCTTAAAAGCTTTCCTTCTCTCTGGTTTCATATCTGATACCAAAAAAAGAAATGACAGAAACCATAATTGTGTTGTTTTTTTTTTTTTAAAGATATCCTCATCTCCCTTCTTCCCTTCTTCCATCCCTCCTTCCCTCCTTCCCTTTTTCATCCTTTTTCTTCTCATCCTCTCTCTCATCTTTTCCCCTGCCTTTCACCTTTTCCTTTTTTACTTTGGTGGTGGTACCAGGGTTGGAACTCAAGGCCTTATTCTTGCTAGGCAGGTGCTCTGCCACTTGAGCCATGGCCTCAGCCCAGGCATGTATTTAAGTGCCTCTGGGCTCGAATTTAAAACGCCATCTGTCTTCTAGGGCTATTAGGGTTTAAGGGTGCTCATGTGAACCAAGAGCTGCGTGTGGCTACCGGTATAGGTTTGCTGATGTTTTATTGCAGTGTGTGTGTGTGTGTGTGTGTGTGTGTGTGTGTGTCCCCTGGACTAGTGGGTCTTCAGGATGTGCCTTGTATGCCCAGGACATGTGAGATTGTCATTACTTCAGTAACTTCAAGATCCATATAAATGTGGTCAGGTAGCACTGCCCCAGGTCCTTGGGCCACATGTGGACACCAGGAAAGCAGAATTGTGACAGACTTGCTGCAGGGGATGGAGGAGAATGTACCTTGGTGCTTTCTGAGTTTGGGTTGCAGCTCACGTGCGGCATCTCCAGTTGGTTCTCATGGGACACCAAGTTGGTTGTTGCCGATGGCCTAGTAGGATATGGCCACTGAATGGACAAAGGAGAATGCAACAGGAGGGAGAGCTGTGATGTGGCAGGCTGGTGACTTGGCAGGCCTTGACTTCCCCGCTGCAGTGGGGATTTGGCTCGGTGGACAGTGGGGCTGTCAGGAAACAGCCAGGCATGTCCCTTCACCTGTGTGCACGAGGTTGCTCTTGGCCTAGGAGATGGCAGGTGTTACTAGAAGTATTGCTGCATGTGTGAATCCTCTTCTGCTGGGCATGGGTTTTACCAGACTAACAGATTATGGGCTTGGCTGTGGAGCCATTTTTCAGGTCTTGCCCAATATAGCCCAGTAGTAAAACAGATCAAAATGGTGCCGGTGTGTGTTGATTGCACAGGATCAGTACTATGGCCCCCTTCATAGACTACCCCATCCCCACCCCCAGGAAAGTTTCACATCTCTGGCTTTCAGAGATATGTCTAGGCCAGAACCTTATACTGAGCTGGTGATGTGATATGGTGGTCAGGAGGCTCTGAGGGAGAAGAGGGCCAGGGGAGGCCCTGAGCGTGGCATCATTGGTCACTTCCCTTGGTATGATTCTCACCATGCCTTTTGAAGCTGCCTCTGATGTTGCCAGTAGAGGGTTGGGAGGAGATGAATTTGATTGCACCCTTTCCCTCCTGAGCCCTGTCCCTCCCCAGGGGAGCCTCAGGACACTGCCATCTGGTGAAAGGTGGAAAGGAACGATGTATGGTGGCCTCCAGGATCCTAAGAGAATCCTTCCTGAGAACGAGGCTCAGTGGCTCTGTCCTCCCAGGAGCTGGAGAGGCAGATGTGACTGAAGTGGGACCTTTGTCACATCTTACTCTGGTCAGGTGACCCAGTCTGCATGGTACACATCCTCAGGTACCTCCCCAGGCCAGGAGAAGAGCTGGGCATGACAAGAGGTCTCCCAGGGCCACTGGGCACTTGGCCCTGTATTTTGACATGCCCTCAGAGGCACCAGTGATGGTATGGCAAAGATCCGAGCCCCCTCCTCCTGCACCCGTGACTTACCTATGCCAAACCACTTTGACTACAGATACGGACTCTGAGGAAGAGGATGACTTCCTGAAGGATGAGTGGTCTGCTCAAGGCCCCTCCAGCTCCAAACTGACCTCCTCCCTCCTGTGCGGCATGGTGGCCAAGAACAGCAAGCCAGTGGCAGGCCCCAAGCTGGCCAAGAGGGGCCTAGCAGCCCCCCGAACTCTGAAAGCCAAGGCAGGTGCTGGCAGAAAGCAGCCTTTCTGCCTACTGCTTCGAGAAGCCGAGGCCCGCTCCTCCTTCAGCGACTCTTCGGAGAACTCCTTTGACCAAGGTTACTAGCTCCAAACACACAATCCCTTCCATGTTTTAGAGTGAGAGTGAGTGTGGGGGAAAGAGAGAGTGAGTGAGTGAGAGAGAGAGAGAAAGAGAGATCGCACAGCAAGGATGGCTGCAGATGGACAGCCGTCTTGGTCTTTGGCAGCGTAGTCTGCCCTATCTGCCCTGTTTTGATTTGATTTTTATTTGTACTGTTACCATCTTGATTTCATCACTGGCTGGCTCTTTTGCAGCCTCACACCGACTGGCTTCTAGTCTTCACTCCCTGCCTTTCTCCCAACCTGTCCCTGCCCCTGCCCCTGCCCCTGTCCCCACCCCTGCCCCAAGGCCCCGTGCCTCTCTGACCCTCCCAGGCAACCACAGGCCGGGCTGGGCACTGTCCCCTGGCACGGGTCGGAGGAAGCTGCCCAGGAGAGTTTTGTAAATGGACTTCTGTCAGTCGTGTGGGCGTGTGACTTGATGTTTGTACCGCGATTTTGGTAATACCAAGCTCTATTAAACATACCAAGTTCATTTTTAACTAAACTGTGTACCTTGTCTCTCTTGCTGTGTCCTTACTAGACATTAGGTTGACACTTTCCCCCCATTTGTTGCTCCCTTCCTCCCTCCTGATCCTTCTCCCCACCCTACCCCAGAAGGAGTAGACATGGGGGACCATTCCTTTCTATTACTCCAGTATCCCCAGTGGTTCCCGCATCCATTTCTTTTTCGTGTATGTCTGTGTATATCTTTTATTTTTAATTTTTTCAAAGCTGCTTGTTTGTGAGTTCTTTTTTTTTTTTAATTTTTTTTTTAAGTTTTCTTAAAGCTTCTCCTGTGACTCACCACTGGTTAAAAGAATATTAACCAATCAACACATGGCTTTTAACTAGCATTTCTGCTTAGAAGGGCGTGGAGGCAGCTGGGGCACAAGGCCCTTTGCCAACCTTCATTTTTGTTGTTGGATTTAGAAATGGTTAGCTTCATTGGGACACTGCGTTATGGTTGTGAGTCCCCAGCCTGGTGTAGCCTGGGCTCAGCCAGGGGTCCTTTAAAACAAGAACGACCGGATGACCGCCAAGATGGCTTTGGCTGCCAATTCTCCAGCGTGAGCCAGCCTTGTAGTGTGCTGTCAGAAACATCAGAGCCCTCCAAAGCCCTTCAACCAGAAATGTGAGAATGTTCTAGGCTTTTGTGGTTTTGCTTCAGGGTGGATTTCCTTTAGAATCAGGCCATGGGGTTCTCCAGAGCCTTGTGTAGCATCCCATGGCTCCCCAAGGAAGGCCTGGGGTGGGCTAGGGGAATCACAGTGAACGTGAATGTCACCTGGTATGGGGCCCCTGGGACCAGATCAGCCCATCCCTCTATTTCCCAGCTTTTCCCTTCCCAGGCTTTCTGTCCAAATAAGCAGAGATGGCTTTTGAGTGGTCAAGAGGTGGCGCACAGGAAGCCTGGGGCCCTGTGGGCTAGTTCCTCCCGGGCCCCTGCCACTTCTGAGCCCCAATGCAAGCTGGGCCGCAGAGAGAGGCCACCAGTCTACCTGCCAGTCTCCTGTCCCAGGTCTCCCTTCTTTTGTGGATGACTGGCCTGGCTCTCCATTTCTACTCTCTGACCTGGGCTGGGCCTTCCCCCTGCCTTCTCCCCAACACACTCACATTTTGGAGTTCTGTCCTTAGCTAGATCCCACAGACAAGTATGTAACCCTCCCATCCCCCCAGACTTCTCAGAAAGGGGTCCCGGGGATAGCAGTGCTGGTAGGAGGAACCCAGCTAGGGGAGCAATGGGAGGAAGGGGCGGGGGGGGGGGTCCTCAGCTCCCCCAGCTGGGCCCCTGCACACCAAGCAGATCATTGGTGAGGTCTCAAAAGGGATAGTTTGGTTAATAGGGCCTTCCTGTCCCCCTGGTACTAAACACTTAATTGGCTTGGCTTTTTCTAGTGTGTCTGCTTTCTCCTCCCAGCAGCTTGACCATACCTCCACCCTTGACCCCTACCCATGATGCTTTGAGTGTCTGTTTCGGTCTCTTGCATTTACCCTCATGCTGCACTTGGACGCAAAGCGAAGGCTGGGAGTAGGGCAGACGGCGCAGCGGGTAACTGAGCTTGGGGTAGGCAAAACCCTTTTCTTTCTGCCCTCTCTTCACCTCCCCTCCTTGGGGTCTGTCCCCACTGGGTCTGCCAACAGCTGAAGCGCTTTGGCTTATTGGGTTTGGGAAACCAAACAAAATAGACAATAGCCTACTATCCCTTGCCCTGAGTCAAGATCTATTTTTTTTCTCTTTGTTTAATATTAAAAAAAAGTGGTTTTTTTTTTTTATTTTGGGTTATTTTTTTCGTTATTGTTTTGGTTTCTTGGGTTTTTGTTTTTTCGTGGTTTTTTTTTCCCCCTCCACATTTCCTTGGGTGCCTTTGGGATTTTTCTCCCCCTCTGCCCTTGGCATGTCTGTGGACTAAGGCCACAAGGCCACAGGAGAATTGGAGTGCACCTTTTGCAGGTGATTCGTACTTCCTGAAGGCCAAGGTGTTGGGATTGGTCTGCTTGTGGCTTTCTGGGGTCTGACATGGCCACTGTGGCTCTCAGAAACCCAGAGCTGGCCCTCTGTCCAAGCTGCTAGCTGAGACTCCTTCTAGAAAATTCCACACCTGAGCAACCAGGACAGGGGGCTTTGAGAAGGAGAAATCACCGACCCCCATCCCAGCCCACCACCCTCTTCCTTCCCCTGCCCAAATTGGCCAGTCCCAGGGTAGGGGCCCTAACTGGGGGACCCAGGCGCTGTCGAGTCTGCCTACACTTAGCCTGCTTTGCCGCTGTGGCTCACTGGGGCGGAGACAACCATGTGATGTCGCAATGTGAATGATCGCAAGTGTGCACTGCTCGCCTGTCCCCTGCCTGCCCTGCTGGCCTCCCCAGCCTGCTTCATCCATCGCTACGCTACCCACGGGAGCCCTGCCCTCCCCTTGGTCCCCCCCTCCCCCTCCATCTCCTTACCCATTGTGCAGCCTCCCCCAGCTCTGGGGCTCCCCCTCCCAGGGTGGCTTAGGGGACACAGCACCTCTCTCGGGGCTGTACTTTTGGCCACTGGTTGCTTTTTCACTGAGCAGTGGCCTGGGGCTTTGGCAGAGGAATGGAGACTTGACTACCCCTCTTTCCTTGTCCACTCATTTTTCTCTGTTCACTTGTCTCTTTTCCAGCCACACATCTGGCCCACAGTATGTATGTCCTGCCACTTGTTGAACATAGTTCTTTCCCAAGCTTCCTGGGTCCTGTGTGTGGCCACGGGCTCTTAGTGCTCCTGAGGCCCTGCTCTGTGGTGCGTTGAATAAGCTCTCCATACCCCTTGCCTGCTTCCTCAGGGTTTGCCTGGCCCTCTACTGGGGAAAGACAGAAGGAAGTTTATACTTCAAGGTAGACTCTTTACCAGCATGGTAGTATACGTCTGTAATCCCAGCACTTGGGAGGCAGAAGCAAGAGGATCTTGAGTTAGAGGCCAATCTTATTTTGAAAGCGTATCTTATTTCTGATGGAAGGTTTGGTTACATGGAGGTTGCAATATCCTGTCCTTGGCTTTTCCCAGCTGCCAATGTCCTGGCCATGTGGGCTGCTGGCGTGCAGGATAGCAGTTCATGTTGCTGAACCTCAGCTTCACCCCTCAGAGACACAACCTGGGTCAGGTCCCCCACCCCAGAGCTGCCATAGCTGCTTTGTAGCTCCCAGGAGTGGAACAGTGTAGTTAGTTCCTGTGTAGGTAGCAGGAGTCACCTGCTTCTTCCCATGCTTTGTCTCTGTCTCTCTGTGTCTCTGTCTGTCTGTCTCTCTCTCTCTTTCTCTCTCTCTGTCTCTCTCTCTCTCCTTCCTCTCTCATTGGTACTAGGACTTTTGTACTGAGGGCCTCGAACTTGCTCAGTTTTCTTGCCTATGGGCTGGCTCTTACAACCTGAGTCATGCTTCCAGGCTGGCATTTTGCTGGTGATTGGAGATAAAAGCTTATGGGCTTTTCTGCCTATGCTGGTCTTGAGTTTCCATCCTCCAGATCTCAGCCTCCTGAAGTAGATAGGATTACAGGCATGAACCATTAGTACCCACTTGATCTTTTTAAAGCTGGGGGGGGGATCTACTATATAGGACCCTGTATGTCCCCTCCTCTTAACTGAGCCAGGAGGGTCACCCCATGCCAAGAGGGGCACAACCTGCCCTTAGGCTTCCCAGCATGAGGAATCAGTTGTAGACTCTAGAACCATGGTGTCTCCATTCTCTGCAGAGCCATCATACTCCACCTTCCCCTGCCACAGGCCCCAGGCTTCCTTCCCGCTGGCCAAACTGCCACAGACCCCAATGCCTGGAGCTTCAGCCTGAACCCCACCCTCACCCCTCCTCCTCCCTTTTTCTCCTCTCCTGCCTCCTACCTTGGTCTCCATGTTTACGTCAATGTGTGTGTGTGTGTGTGTGTGTGTGTGTGTGTGTGTGTACGTGTGGGCTTGTGTGAGACTGTGGCAAGCACTGTCTCCTGTCCTTGTCTCTGTCTGTCCCCTGCCCACAGCACAGGTGCATGTTGGTGCTCCCTTCCCAGAAGCCCACTTTGATGCCCAGAGCCACTGCCCCGTCTGGGCTGTCCAGGATGTCTGTGTACCTGGCTCTGGTGGTTGGAGGCCTCAGGCCATGGGAGGGGCTAAGGGTTGGTTCTGAATCCTTCCCTATGGTCTATGGTGAGGACAGAGTGAGGCTGGAGTCAAGTGGCTGCTCTGGCCTGGGATAGGTGGTGGTGGGGAGGCGGGGGGCTGGTGCACACCTGGGCCAGGCCCCTGACTTGCTCCCTGTTTTCTGCATGCCAGATGAGAGTTCAGAAGAGGACGACGATGAGGAGGAGCTGGAGGAGGAGGAAGAGGAGGAGGAGGAGGAAACTGGCAGTGGTGGCTATAGGCTAGTCTCCCGAGAGCGGGCTCTGTCGCCAGGCCTGGAGGAGAGTGGGCTGGGTTTGCTTGCCCGTTTTGCGGCCAGTGCCCTTCCCAGCCCCACAGTGGGGCCAGCCCTGTCAGTGGTCCAGCTGGAGGCCAAGCAAAAGGCCCGCAAGAAGGAGGAGCGACAGACTCTAATGGGTGAGTGTGGGCAGCTGCTGGGAGGTGGGTACTGTGGGCCCATCACACGGATGAGGAAACTGAGGCTCAGAAATGATAAGAACAGGGCAGCTCTGCCCCAAGTAAAGCGGCTGGTGATGGGGCCTCGATTCGTTAGGAGAGATCAGCTGAGTGTATTCCTTTCCTTCTTTCCAAGTAAACACAGCCCTGTAGGTACGAGACTGGGAGCCAGAGGGAAACCCTAACCCAGCCTTGGGGACCAGAGGTCACCCCAAGCTGCAGTGAGAGAGGTGGGAGCTGGCTTCCAGTCGCAGTCCTCAGATGTTAGCCTCCTAAGTAGCTGGGGGAACAGCTGTGAATCACCAGCGCCTGGCCCTTCTGTTTTCTTTGGGTGTAATTTTCACCTATTTCCCATTTCGTAAGGTAAAAGAGGATGGTTTTGATTAGGAGCTTCGTTCTTTTCCAGAAGACACTAAAAGCCGTAGACCTCTCTCAACACTACTTTTGTCACACCTCACACATTTTGATATATTACCACATTTTTCAGTTAGTTGTATTGTAGTTTCTCTTGTGATTTCTATTTAGGCCAGATGAAAAACTTCAGAAAAGCATTGTTTATTTTCCAAATATTTGAGAGAAACTGCCTGGTTGTCTTGTTACTGTTTTTTATATGTGTATGCTGGTCTTGGAGCTTGAACTCCGTTGGGATCTGGGTGCTTTCACTCAAGGGTGTTTTTGCTCAAGGCTAATATTCTACCACTTGAACCACCTCTCCACTTCCAGATGTTTGCTGGCTCACTGGAGATGAGTCTCATGGGCTTTCCAGTTCTGGCTGGCTTTGAACTGTGATCCTCAGATCTCAGCCTCCTGAGTAGCTAGGATTATTACAGGTGTGAGCCACTAGTGGCTGGCTTTTTGTTGTTGTTGTTGTTGGGGTGGGGGGAGTCTGGTCGTGGGGCCTGAACTCTGGGCCTGGCGCTGTCCCTCAGCTCTTCAGCTCAAGGCTAGCGCTCTACCACTTGAGCCACAGTGCCACTTCTGGCTTTTTCTGCTTATGTGATGTTGAGGAATCGAACCCAGGGCCTCATGCATGCAAGGCAAGCACTCTACCACTGAGCCACCTTCCCAGCCCCATACTCTGCAATTTTTATCGTCTAATTTTGTAAAATTTTTGAAGCCAGGCACTCAAGAGACTGAGATCTGAGGATGGAATTTCAAAGCTGTGGCTCAAGTGGTAGAATGCTAGACTTGAGCAAAAAAAACCTCAGGGACAGCACCCATGCCGCCCTGTGTTCAAGCCCCAGGACCAACACACTCACACACACACTTTTTTTTTTTTACTGTTAGGCATTTCCTCGCAAATGTACTTTATACACATATATGAAGCGTGTGTATGTATTTATATATATATATATATATATATATATATATATATGATTAGGTGTAATATTTTATAAGTATCATATATATGTGTATATAGCTATGATTGGGTATATCTTATAAATATCACTCACCTTGATGTGATTAGTAATGTCCAGATTTATCTCTGCCATTTTCTTGTACTATCAGTTTGTTAGAGGTAGATGTTAAAATATCCCACTATGGTTGCAGAATTCTGTGTTTGTTCTTCTAATTATCCCAAGTTTTCTTTCATGTCTATAGCTGTTACTAGGTACATACATGGGTTTTGGTCATGGGGCTTGAACCCCCAGCCTAGGCACTGTCCCTGAGCCTGTGTTGAAAGAAGCTGTAGGTAGGAAGGTAGAGGAGGAAGTAGGAAGAGGCTGGTGTCCTACAGTCCCCTTCAGGAGTATGCCCCCAGACACCCAACTTCCTCCCATGAGGTCACACCTCCTTCAGAGGCCGCTGCCTCTCAGTAGTACCACACCAAAGAATTCTAAGCTTTCAACTCCTGGGGCCTAATGAGGGAATTCCAGATCTAAACTAAAGCAGGTCTCATGTCTCCTGCTCTTGTCTGCTGTGTTTTTACTTTGGCTCCCAGCAGTGACCACAGTGTACCTGGTGTGGACAATGTATCTGTATGGATTCTGCAAATTTCTCTTGATTATGAGCCTTATCACTTAAAGTATTCCACCCCCCTCCCCCAACCCCCCAATCTTTGGTTGCCATGTAACAGTTCTCTGAATTTATTCATCTGTTCAGCTCTTTCCCCCCCTTCTTTCTTTCTTTCTTTCTTTTTTTTTTTTTTTTGGTCAGTCGTAGAGCTTGGGCGCTGTCCCTCAGCTCTTCAGCTCAAGGGCAGCACTCTATCACTTGAGCCACAGTGCCATTTCCGGTTTTCTGAGTGGTTTATTAGAAGTAAGAGTCTCATAGACTTTCTTGCCCGGGCCGGCTTTGAACTGTGATCCTCAGATCTCAGTCTCCTGAGTAGCTAGGATTACAAGCTTAAGCCACCATTGCCTGGCTTCTTTAAAAAAAAAACAAAAACAAAAAAAAAACAGTACCAGAGTTTGATCTCCAGGTATGGTGCTTACTAGTCAGACACCATACTTCCAGCCTTCTTTCTTCAGTGAATTTCTCATTTCTACAACTGTAATTTGCAGTTTTACAATTTAGTTCTTTTCAGCCCTTTCTGTTTCTCTGCTGCTCCCCCATTCCCCCTTTTTTTTTTTGCCAGGCCTGGGTCTCGAACTCAGGGACTGGGCACTGTCCCTGAGCTTCTTTTGCTCAAGGCTAGCACTCTACCACTGGAGCTACAACACCACTTCTGGCTTTTTCTGTGTATGTGGTACTGTGGAATCAAATCCAGGGCTTTTCATGCATGCCAGGCAAGCATTCCTACCACTAAGCCACATTCCTAGTTCTCTCTACTGGCCCTTTAAATATCTTTAGAGAAGTTTCCAGGTTTTGTTTTATGTCTTCAAGGATAGTTGTAATATTCAGGGTGAATCCTTATCTTGTTTCTAACGCTGGCTTCATCTCAGTCTAAAGCAACTGTTTTTCTTCTCTCTAGCATGTGTTAGGTACCATCTGTTGAGTAATTTTTGGTTGTATACTAGACATTGTGGAACTCAGGGTCTGGGCACTGTCCCTGAGCTGCTTTTGCTCAAGGCTACCACTTGAGCCACAGTGCAGGATTTTTCTGAGTAGTTCTATTGGAGATAAGTCTCATGGACTCATCTGCCCCAGCTGGCTTTGAACCATGGTCCTCAGATCTCAGCCTTTTTTTGTTTTGTTTTTTGGTCATGGGGCTTCAACTGTGGGCCTGGGTGCTGTCCCTTAGCTCTTCAGCTCAAGGCGAGCGCTCTACCATTTGAGCCACAGCACCACTTCCGGTTTTCTGGTGGTTTATTGGAGATAGGAGTCTCATGGTTTTGCCCAGGCTGGCTTTGAACTGTGATCCTCAGATCTCAGCTTCCTGAGTAGCTAGGATTACAGGCAGGAGCCACCAGCACCCAGCAAGATCTCAGCCTCTTGAGTAGCTAGGATAACAGGTGTGAGCCACCAGCACCCAGCTCATATCAAGCATTTTGCTAATTAGTTGGAGGTAATTGTCTCTTTGACTTTTCTGCCTGGGCTTGCCTCAAACTGGAATCCTTAGATCTCAGCCTCTTTAGTAGGTAAGATTACAGGTGTGAGCCTCTAGTGCCTGACTAGTATTTCTTCTCTTTCAGCTGACCTTGTCTTGATTAGGTTCAAACTCCAGCTTCTGTGTTTTTGGCAGGGGCTACTCTGGTCTCTGTTGGTTTCTGATGTTCTCTGGGCTGCGTTGGGTCTGTTCTGTGTGTGAGTAGTTTCAGAGTGTGGGTGAGCAGAGTTTGTGGCTCTTTTTCCATTCTCTTATTTCTAGGTTTCTTTCTCCTGCTTGCTTTCCTTTAGTGGTTTGAGACAGGGCCTTACTATGTAGTCCAGGGTAGCCTGGAACTTGAGATGTTTCTGCCTCAGCCTCCAGAGTGCTGGGATTATAGCTGTGCACCACCACCACGCTTGGCTGGCTCTTTCCTGTTTCCTGAGCTCAGAAGGACTTGTTTCTTTCCCACATGTGTTCCTCATTCCCTACTTTATGTGCCAAGAAGATTAGTAAGAATCAGTATGAGGGGTATGAACAAGATGTCACCCCTGTAACACCATATTCCCCTTCCAAGTGGCCCTTCCCTGTCCATTGTCACCTACTCCACATGCACACCAGCCGTGGGGCTATACATAGGGGTTCTAGCTGTCTGCCTGAACTCTCGTTGCCTCCCGAGACCCCTTGTGGCTCCCTGTGTTGTAGGAGGTTTGTCAACACAAGATTAACAAGACTCCAGGGCAGGGCTTGCTGTGAGCACCGGAGTCGTCTGGCTGCCTGCTGCCCAAGGTGGTATGAGAGCTGGAATTGAGCTCTGGTGTCTAAGCTTGGGTTCTAAGAGCCCTCAGGCAGGTCACTAGCTCCGTCTGGGGCTGTCACCCCAGCAGGCTGGCCCAGATACCTCATCCTGAGTCTGGCCAGGCCACCAGGCCCTCTCTTGATACTTGTGCTGAACACGGCACCATGCCAGGCTTAGCAGTGAGGATCACCAGAGACCCTTGGAGAACTCAGGGAGCCCCTCGTGGGAGTGGGACAGGCCACATAGGTCAAGATAGGGGGTAGGACACTGGGAGGGGCCATTGCCAGTGACCAGGGGGTTGTGGATGAAGGGGACACCCAGGGCTAGGTGTCAACTCTGGCCACAGCAGAGTTGACACCCCACGTTGAGGTTGGGGGAGGGATGGAGGGATGCCTGGAGTTCAGAAAGCAGGGAGGATGTGAGGTGTGGGCTGGAGCCAGAAGCTGTGCAGTCCGAGGTCGCTTGGCCCCAGACCTGAGTCAAAGGAGACTGTGGAAGACGTGGCTCTGGCCTGGCCGGAGAGTAGGGCTGAGCCCATGGCCACAGGCCCTGGTGAGACCAGCCATCGAAGAAGGGGAGAGGCCTAGGGGAACTTGGGGCTGCCCAGCACAGAGGGTTTGGGGCTTTCCTGTGGGCTTCCCCACCTGCCTCCCACAGGCCACTGCCCTGCAGGTGGGCACCTCTCCCAGGACACCTGCCAGCCTTCTGGCGTTTCCAGGGCCCCCAAGGGAGGGTCTGGAGCAGCCCAAGACCTTGAGGTTTCCAGAGGGGAGTCCAGGGTGAGGGACCCAGACACAGGCAGAGCTGGGGTAGGTGGGCCTGGGCAAAACCCACACCTTCCCCTCTGGGCCTCAGTTTCTTTCCTGGCAGCAGAAGAGAAGCTCTCCCCTCCCCCCCCCTTCCTGGAGTGTGGTCCTGGGGTGGAATGGGAGTGGGGGCCTACTGCGTGAAGAGGGGCCTCCAGAGGCCCTGCCCACAAGCCTCCTTCCTCCCCCCCATGTCCAGGCACGGAGTTTGAGTACACGGACTCAGAGAGCGAGGTCAAGGTGCGCAGACAGTCACCTGCAGGGGTGCTGCGGCCCAAGAAGGGGCTGGGGGAGCCAGGCCCCCCTCTAGCCACACCCGCCACTAGTGCCCGCGGCCCTGGCCCCGCCAGCCCAGACAAGACCAAGCTGGCCCCAGAGAAGGGGCGCAAGGCCCGGAAGCTGCGGGGCCCCAAGGAGCCAGGCTTCGAGGCCGGGCCTGAGGCCAGCGACGACGACCTGTGGACGCGGCGGCGCAGTGAGCGCATCTTCCTGCACGACGCCAGCGCAGCGGCCCCCGCACCCAGCAGCGCGCCTGCACCCAGGGCCGCCCGCGCCAAGGCCAGCGCACCCAGCCCACGCAAGGACGCGGGCCGGGCCAAGGACAGGAAGGACCCTCGGAAGGTAGGGGGTCATGGGGAGGGCCCTAGCCTCGGGGAATGGCTTCTGTGTCATCCGTGTGCCTGTGTTTGCCCACGTGAGCCCAAGTTAGTCTGCACCTGGGATAAAATATGCACAACAAGGGTGTGGTGGAGCATGCCTATAATCTCTGTATTTGAGAGGCAGGAGCAGGAAGATCATGAGTTCAAGGTCAGCCTGGGATAGTGAGACCTTGTCACTTTTTTTTTTTTTTTGGGGGGTCAGTCATGGGGCTTGAACCCTGGGCTTGGGCGCTGTCCCTCAGCTCTTCAGCTCAAGGCAAGTGCTCTACCGCTTGAGCCACAGCGCCACTTCTGGTTTTCTGGTGGTTTATTGGAGATAAGAGTCTCACAGACTTTCCTGCCTGGGCTGGTTTTAAACTGCGATCCTCAGATCTCAGTCTCCTGAGTAGCTAGGATTACAGGCATGAGCTACCAGCTTCTGTCTTACTTTTATTCTTTTCTTTCTTTCTTTTTTTTTAATAGACTTATTTTGCTAGCCAGGTGTTCTCTACCACGTGAACTATACCTCCAGCTCAGCATTTTGGAAGTTTCAGTATAGGATCCATTGGCCTGTATTGAGGCAGTATCAGGAGGTGGAGCAAAACTGTTCCACTCACAAGCCAGGGAGCAGAGGGACAGGAAGAGACTACTCAGAGCCTTGAAGGGCACCCCTCCCCTTGACCTGAAGGCCTCTGCTAGGGTGTCCGCCTCCTCCTCAAACACCACCCTGAGAACCACTCCAGTGCCATTTGTGATCAGGCCTGTGGTCCTGGCCCCACTGGCCCAGACAAGACCAAGCTGGTCCTGGGGAAGCTACAGGTCCCTGGTGTGGCACAGTGAGATGATGATGATGATGATTGTGCTCAGCCACTGAGTTAAAGCCCAGAGTCAGGCCCCCCCATCCCGCACTGCTACTTCTCCCTCCTTCCCTCTGTCTTCCCTGCTCCTTCCTTCTCTGTCTTTCCTTCTCGTCTGTTTCCTCCCTCTCCCTTTTTTTTTCTTTCCTCCCTTTTCTTTCTTCCCTCCTCCCTCTCCCTCCCTGCCTCTCTCTCTGTCACCGTCTTTCCTTGGAAGAACCCAGGCCGGGGCCCATCTTCTCTGCTGGGCGGGGTGGCACTGTGCCCCACAGCTGTATGCGGGCTTTCTGATTGGTGGCCTGTAGTTGGTTTCCAGATCTTTGCTCGCTGGCAGGGCCATGTGTGAAGCTTTGGGCTGCCTTCCACACCCATAGGCAAAGGAATACTTGTTTGTTCCCAAGTAGGGTACCTCTGAGGTGCTGGGGATGGTGTGGCTCTGGCATCAGCATGGGCAGGAGTGGCTAGACAGCAAGGCCCGGCTGGGGTGGGGACATCATTTGAAAAGGCGTCAGCAGGCCCATTTCTGGGGATGCTCACATGACACAGTCACACTGCTACATAGCAACAACAGAGCCACCTCTGCGCACTAGCCATGACAGGACTCCCTTTTCTTCATTCCCCTCCCTCCTTCATCTTCTCTTGATCCTCCTACCTCCATCTTCCAAGTGCTGGGATTACAGGCGTGGACCACCATACCTGGCTCAAAGCAGGATTTCTGGACCTGTGTTTAAAAACACAAAACACTCAGCTGGGGGCGCAGCTCAGTGGTAGAGCACTTGTGTAGTATGCATAACACCCTGAGTTCCAGCCCCAACACTGATTAAAAACCCACAAACGGGCTGGGAAGGTAGCCCAGTGGTAGAGTGCTTGCCTTGCATGCATGAGGCCCTGGGTTCGATTCCTCAGCACCAGATAAGCGGAAAAAGTTGGAAGTGGCGCTGTGGCTCAAGTGGTAGAGCGCTAGCCTTGAGCTGAAGAACTCAGGACAGCACCCAGGCCCAGAGTTCAGGCCCATGACCGACCAAAAAAAAACAAAAAACCCACAAACCAAAACATGTATATAAATATGTATTCATGACCTTCGTGTTTACCTCATGGAATGTTCTGGAAGGGCATATCAGGATGTGGAGACTTGTTTGAGAGGAATGCATATGCACCATGCTATGCGACAGAAGCAACAAGGAAAATAAAGTATTAAAATAATGGAGAGGCTAGTGCGGGGGGGCTCGGTGGGGGCATGGCTGGTGGCAGAGCCATTTGCCAAGCAAGCACAAGACCCTGAGTGAGGCAAAAGAGGAAAAAAAAATGGAGAGTAAAAACCAAAACACATTGGGCATCCATGGCTCATGCCTAGCTACTCAGGAGGCTCAGATCTGAGGATTGAGGTTCAGAGCTAGCCCTGACAGGAAAGTTCCATGAGATTCTTACCTCTAATTAAAAAAAAAAAAGCCAAAGTGGAGCTGTGTTTCAAGTGGTAGAGTGTTAGCCTTGAGCAAAAATGCTTGAGGACAGCGCCCAGGCCTTGGGTCCAAGCCTCCACCAGCAGTAAAAAACACCCCCCCCCCCAAAAAAAAAAAATGAAAAAAAAGACAAGAACATTTCAAGGGCACCAAGGGCCTCGTTCTTCTGTTTGGTATGGCGTGCTCAGGCTGTCTGGACCTGGAGGGGGGGCGGGGGGAGGAGCAGGGCCTGGACCCTTGGTGCCTTCTGAGAGCTCTACTTACTGTTCCTGCAGAAGAAGAAAGGCAAAGAGGCCGGGCCAGCCGCCTCACTGCCAGCCCCCCGGGTTCCTGCCCTGCCTCCCGAGGCCAGAGCCCCACACGCTGGGGCCTTGGTGACCGCCAGGAGAAGCAAGGCCAAGCCTAAGGGGAAGGAGACGAAGAAGGAGGTGAGGCCCCAAGGGGTGTGGGAGGAGTCTGGGCCCAGGTGTCCCCAGGGTAAGGGGTATTGACCCCGAAGCCCACCCCCCCAGTGTCTCCTGGAGGTAGAGATAGGGCGATGAGCCCAAGAGGCTCTATGTGCTGTCTGTCATTGACCATAGCCCCCATCTGAGCTGACACCCACATTGGCAAATAAGGGAGACCAACAACCCGCCCAGCAGCTCAAGGCCTGTCCTGCCACAGGGACAAGTGTTCCTTTGGGGAATCGAGGGAGCCATTCCCTCAAATGCATCACACACGGCTGAGCTGTTGCCTCAGTTTCCCCCAAGAAAGAAACCCCGATGTCTGCTGTGATGACAGCACCATGGATGGAGCGCTCAGCTGAGTACTTTCAGCCCTGGCCACTGTGCACTCAGCAGATACCACTGCAGCCTGGCTGGCCCGACCATGGCTCTGGGTTGGGCAGGTCCCCTACTTCATCCTCAGCTCTCTGTGTGCTGTGTTTTGTGGCTAGAACCGGGGCAAAGGCGGGGCCGTGAGCAAGCTGATGGAGTGCATGGCCGCAGAGGAGGACTTTGAACCCAACCAGGACTCGAGCTTCTCTGAGGATGAACACTTGCCACATGGTGGGGCTGTGGAGCGGCCCCTGACTCCAGGTGAGTGGGGCCATGTGTGCTGGGAGGGGCTGCAGGGGGTCTTAGGGGGAGGGTAGATCTCAGCCCAGGCCTGAGACTTAGGCAAATGACAGCAGTGTGTAAGGTCCTTGGGCTGGCCAGGAGCGGGGCACCTTTAGCCAACAGAAAAGAGTTCAGTTTAGCTCTGGCTTAGTAAAGCTAAGGGCAGGTGGGGTGGGGTTGAGGGAACAGTGAAAGAGCAAATCACCACAGATCCCTGGGCCCTGTTGAGGAGCAATTTGAGCAGCTCTCCCGGGCTGTAGGGGTGGAGGGGATGATATCATCATGCTGGTGGAGGTCCTGGGGGGCAGGCGAGGAATCCAGCCCACCACTCTCCGACCTGGCTGGCTGTGAGCTGGGGCTATGGTAGAACAACATGGGGAGAGGCAGGGTTGAGGCTGAGTATGGTTTCAGGCCAACATTGGGGGTTCCTAAAACTGTGGTCCTGGGGATGGAGAGACCACACATTGGGCTTTGATGGCCTGACTTTGGGGTGCTAGAGATGATCCCAGAAAGATCAGGTGGAGGAGTGGTGCTAAGAACAGGGCGGAGGCAGGGCAGCTCTGAGGGCAAGCAGCCAACCACTGCCACAAAACTTTGGCGTCTGCAGGGTGCAGGTGCCTGGGCTGTTTCTCCAGGCGATGGGGGGGTGAGGGGTCCAGGCCGCGGTGACCTACTGTCTGAGTCAGGTAGTGCCCCCACTGACTTAGCATTCAGTGGTCTCAGGCTGCACAGGGCTTGAGGAGGGGGAGAGGAACAAGGACCTGGAAGCCCACCTCTGCCTGCCCTTCCCTGTATGACTAGCGTCTGCCGCTTTTCCCTTAGTCAAAGTAAGTGCCTGGCATCAAGCATGGTGCAAGCAAGGATGCAGAAGGGGATCCCTCATTCCCAGACCCCACAACTGTCTCGGTCTCTTTGTAACATATCATAATGACAGACTGAGCGAAAGGCCTGCTGGATTCTGGGGGATGGGGTGTGAGTGGTCTGAGTAGGCAAGGTGGCTCATGCCTGTAATCCAGACTACTTGAAAGGTAGAGATAGAAGGATGAAGGTTTGAGGTCACCCTTAGGGATGAATTCAAGACCCCATCCCAGCAAACAAGCTGGGTATGGTAGTGTTGTGTGTCTGAAATTCCAGCTATAAGGGAAGCACAGTGAGAAGGATCATGAACAAAAAGTGAGACACTGGGCTGGGAAGGTGGCTCGGTGGTAGAGCGTTTGCCTTGCATGCATGAGGCCCTGGGTTCGATTCCTCAGTACTGTATATCAGAAAAAGCCAGAAGTGGTGCTGTGGCTCAATTGATAGAGCTCTAGCCTTGAGCTAAAGAGCTGAGGGACAGCGCCTAGGCCCAGAGTTCGGGCCCCACGACTGACCAAAAAAAAAAAAAAATGAGACACTATTTGAGAGGTAAGTAAAGCCAAAAAGGGCTGGGAACATGGCTCAACTAATACGGCACACCTGCCTCATAATCATGAAGCCGAGTTCAAATCTAAGTACCACCTCCCCCCTCCCTGCCAAAAAAAAAAGGAAAATTGAGCTGGGTGACTGAGTCTCACGCCTGTAATCCTAGCTACTCAGAAGGCTGAGATCTGAGGATCAAGGTTCAAAGCCAGCCTGGCAGGAAAGTCCATGAGACTCTTTATTTATGTCCCAATTAATCACACCCCCCCCCCAAAAAAAATAAAGGTGGAGCTATAGCTCAAGTGGTAGAATACTAGTCTTGAGCAAAAATCAGGGACAGATGGGCCCAGGTCAAGCCCCAGGACTGCAGAAAGAAAAAGGGAAAGAGAGAGGTGCCAAACAGGGAGGGAAGGGAGGCACTGGATGAGGAAGACGTCTTGCCCTGGGTTGTGAGGGTGGGGACGGGATGTTGAGGATCCTCACTCGTGCTGGGCACTGGGTGAGGAGCGCTGTGATCTCGGGCCATCTGGGAGGGGCCGAGGAGGCTGCCACACTCACACCCTTCCCAGGTGTGCACTTCGGTTTGGGCAACGTTGGGGAGCCATCAGGCTCCTGGTGCTCTGTTCTAGAGGTAGGCTGGGGGCCACCAGGCGGGACTGTGAGGAAGGAAGGTCTCCCTGGTGCCCTGCGCTGAGCCCGGCCTCGCTTCCCCCTCTCCTCCCAGCACCACGTTCCTGCATCATCGACAAGGACGAGCTGAAGGACGGACTGCGCGTGCTCATCCCCATGGACGACAAGCTGTTGTACGCGGGCCACGTGCACACCGTGCACTCCCCGGACATGTGAGTCCCACGCTGCTCTGGGCCGGGGGTGGGGGGGATGGGGGGAGGAGAGCACAGGCAGCCCCCCAGCCCAGCAGGCTCTGTGACCCCTCATTTTGCAGCTGAGGAAACTGAGGCCAGGAGGAGAGAGAATTTGCCCCTACTGCCGGGCACTTGGTGGCTCATATCTGTAATCCTAGCCACTCAGGAGGCTGAGATCTGAGGATCATGGTTCAAAGCCAGCCTGGGCAGAAATGTCTATGAGACTCAGATCTCCAATAAACTACTCAGAAAAAGCTGGAAGTGGCACTTTGGCTCAACTGGTAGAGCCTGTGGCTCAAGTGGTTTAAGGACAGTGCCCAGGCCCTGAGTTCAAGCCCCAGGACCAGTTAAAAAAAAGAATTTGCCTGTATTTACATAGCAAGTCTGTGGCCTCAAGATCTGGAGGCCATGCTCCAGGGCACCAGGGACTATGCTAACAATGCTGAGTTGGTGTCTCTCTGCTCACACATTGGTTCCCTGCAGATACCGTGTGGTGGTGGAGGGTGAACGAGGGAACCGACCCCACATCTATTGCCTGGAGCAGCTGCTACAGGAAGCGGTGAGGGGGGGCAGGGGAGGAAGAATGGGGGGGGGGCTGGGGAGTGGGGATGGGCATGGCTTTGTTCCTGGCCACCACCTGGGCTCAGTCTCACATTCCCCCAGATCATTGACGTGCGGCCAGCCTCAACGCGCTACCTGCCACAAGGGACCAGGATTGCCGCCTACTGGAGCCAGCAGTACCGCTGCCTGTACCCAGGCACTGTGGTCCGAGGTGAGATGCTTCCTTCCCGGCATGCCCTTGGGTCTAAGTGAATGCATTCCAGATGGACTCTTCCAGCTTTTTTTTTTTCTTTTTTGCTTATGTGGTGCTGAGGAATTGAACCCAGGGCCTCATGCATGCAGGGCAAGCACTCTACCACTGAGCCACCTTCCCAGCCCCTTCAGATGGACTCTTAACTGCCTCACTCTTAGACTTTGGCTGACTCACATAATGAAGTGACAGGGTTTTTGTTTTTTTTTTTTGAATGGCCAGATCCAGAAACAGTCTATTTACTTGCTTGCCCACAGCGGCAGGACTGTGGTCCTGCTGAGTAGGAAGGTACTTGTACATTTCAGCACATCCTGTCTAGAGAATGGCTAGCACTCCAAGTGTCCACACCGAAGTCTTAGTTACTGTGGTGAGGCTGAAGTTAAGGTTGCCTACAGCATCCGGTCTGTAGGTGTCTGCCTCAGTCCAAGCCTTAAGATGTTCAGCTGGAATGATGTGTTTCCCATCTATCAGTCAGTCTTGTTAATGGGACAGATTTTTCTCTAGGATTGTAGTCTCCTGGATCTTGGCTGTCCTGGGAGGGGAGGAGAGGTAGCTGCTCTTCAAGCTGTGCTCATCAGCCTGAGCTGCTTTTGCTCAAGGCTAGCCCTCTACCACTTGAGCCACAGCACCACTACTGGCTTTTTCTGTGTATGTGGTACTGAGGAATCAAATAGGTAAGCACTCTACCACTAAGTCACATTCCTAGCCCCTAACTTGAGCTTTTTTTTTTTTTTTTTTGGTTGGTCGTGGGGCTTGAACTCTGGACCAGGGCACTGTCCCCTCAGCTCAAGGCGAGCACTCTACCACTTGAGCCACAGCACCACTTCTGGTTTTCTGGTGGTTTATTGGAGATAAGAGTCTCATGGACTGGCTGGCTTTGAACCGTAATCCTCAGATCTCAGCCTCTTTAGTAGCTAGGATTATAGGCATGAGCTACCAGCTTCTGTCTTACCTTTATTCTTTAGAGGCAGTTGAGGGTATAAATTCTCAATTAGAGATCATTTTCTCTCACACTTCATCCTGTTGTCACTTCAGCCTTATTCACCTTCTAATGTTGGAGACGTTCACTTCCATTCTCACTCTCAAATCTTTGATTTTTGTGTCTCTGGAAACATTCGGGAACTTCTCTTACACGTAGATCTGAAATTTTCTCTCTCTCCTTCCCTCCCTTTCTCTCTTTCCTTTTCCTTTCCCCCCTCCCTTCCCTTCCCTTCCCTTCCCTTCCCTCCCCTCCCCTCCCCTCCCCTCCCCTCCCCTCCCCTCTCCTCCCCTCTCCTCTCTTCTCCCTTCCCTTCCTGTCCCCTCCCCTCCCTTCCCTTCCCTTCCCTTTATCCTTCCCCTCCCTTCTACCCCTTCCCCCTCCCCCTTTCCACCCCCTTCCCTCTTTCCTCTTTCCCTTTCTTTTTTCTTTTCCTTTTCCTTGATGTATATCCCAGGCTGATCACAAACTCAACTCTCCCATCTTGCCCTTCCAAGTATCTTTACAGGCATGTGTCAACCACACCCTGCGAATTTGTAAAGTTTCTACTATCATTTTCTTAAAAATCCCCAAGACTTCCTTTCTTCATTCCTTAAGAGGGAAGTGTTTTCACTCCATCAACACATGGCAAAATCTCCCCAAGGACTTTCCCTTTACCCAGACTTCTGCGTCTGTCTTCAGTGCATGTCAGTTCTGCACTGAATGTTTCTTTTGCTGCCGGCCATCCTGGCATGTGTGGTGGGCACTGGAGCGACCTTGACAGGCCCCTGGGAGTACGGCGCAGTGCACAGCCCTGTGACCACCTGTGGCAGGGGCGCTATATATGGGGGACCCCTCCCCTCAGTCACTTCCTTAGGGGACATAGGCTTACATGTGCACACAGGAGTGGGGTCCCCGTTTACCTTGGCTGTGGGGGAGCCAGCTCCTTCTCCCTATGCTCAGCCCAGAGCTCAACAGCCCTCCAGGTTCATGCTACTCCACCTGACACTGTGCAGTGTTGGGGTCCCCTTGGTGGCGTCTTTGTTGATACGGCCAGGAATAGGACAAAACAGCAAGGCCACGGCCCAAGTTAGTTCCAGTGTGTCGATCCAGACTCTGTCCCTCCTCCTCCTCCTCCTCCTCCTCCTCCTCCTCCTCCTCCTCCTCCTCCTCCTCCTCCTCCTCCTCCTCCTCCTCCTCTCCCCCCCCCCCCCCCCCCCGTCAGAACTGACAGCCTGTGGTACCTGACGCTGTGCTGGGCGGGCTTAGGCTTGAGCAGAGAGGGGTATGCCATTTCCAGCACCCCAGGTCTCAGCTAGAAGTGGGAGAGCCGAGCCAGCCTTGCACCCCAGGCCTGGGTAGCCCCCATCCACCTCTGCCCTACTGTGTGTTCAGATCCGTGCACTGTCACTGTGGCTTGGTCACGGGCTGGTGGCCTGTCCCCTCTGACCTGCCTTCTTCCACAGGGTTGCTGGACCTGGAAGATGACGGAGACCTGATCACCGTAGAGTTTGATGACGGAGACACGGGCAGGATCCCACTCTCCCACATCCGCCTCCTGCCGCCAGACTACAAGATCCAGTGTGAGTCATGGGGTCGCACAGCTGGCTGGCTGACCGCTTGGTCACCTGATGCCCTCCCCTGCTTCTGGGTTCTTGATTGTGCTGTTTGCATCAGAACCCACAGGAGACAGTAGAGCATGGACAGGAAGCCCATAGCAGTCTGGAGTATCAGCTTTGGGGGCTCTCAGTGATCCTTGAGGGTAGCCACAGGCCCAGCTGGTGTGGGCCAAGGGAGGCTACCCAATGTTACTAAAGTTTTATTGTATTATAATTGGGGTTTGGACTCAGGACTTGCATTTGCCAGATAGGTGCTTTACCACTTAAGCCATGCCTCCAGTCCTGTGTTAGTTATTTTTCACACAATCTCACATTTTTGCCTGGACCAGCCTATGACCTACCTCCTCTCCCTTACATAGCTGGAATGTCAAGGTGTATACCACCATGCCTAGCTTGTTTTTGAGATGCGGTCTCACTAACTTGGCCTGGGAGGTAATTTCTCTGCCTCCCTTGTAGCTGGGATTACAGGCATCCATGACCATGCCTGCCCTTAGTCAAGTGTTATTTGTAAAGGGCTGGGATGTGGTCAAGTGCTTAGCTATACATGCACAGGACACAGCTTCAAGTTTTGCATGGCATGGCCTTCTTTTTTTTTTTTTGGTCAGGTCATGGGGCCTGAACTCTGGGCCTGGGCGCTGTCCCTCAGCTCTTCAGCTCAAGGCTAGCACTCTACCACTTGAGCCACAGCGCCACTTCGGGCTTTTTTCTTTTTGCTTATGTGGTGCTGAGGAATCGAACCCAGGGCCTCATGCATTCAAGGCAAGCGCTCTATCACTGAGCCACCTTCCCAGCCCCTGGCATGGCCTTCTTGACATGACCTGTGAGGATGGAACTGCTGTCCCCTTTGCCCAAGTGGTGCACCTGGGGCCCAAAGGTTAATGAGTCTCCAGAAGCAGAGCCAGCATGGCCTACATTGTGCCTGACTAATAACATACTCAGTCTTGTGCACTTCCTAAGTGGACCGCTGAGCTCAGGCCGGCCCCTGCATCCAGCTGTTCAGCTTCCCAGCTGCAGTAGCCATCATCCAGGTTCTGTGGCCCCCCTGGGATGCACAGCTCCAAGTTCCCATTCTGGATGCTGGCCTGGGAGCTGGGCCTGGGAAACTTGGGCCTGAGCTGTCTGCCCTGTGCTCCCCCTGCAGGTGCGGAGCCCTCCCCTGCCCTTCTGGTGCCCAGCGCCAAGCGCCGCAGCCGCAAAACCAGCAAGGACACCAGGGAGGCCAAAGAGGGCGCCGGGACGGGCTCGGAGGAGCCAGGAGCTAAGGCGCGAGGGCGCGGGCGGAAACCCAGTGCCAAGGCCAAGAGTGGTGAGCTGGCCCAGGCCTGGGGCGTTCAGGTGATCAGCCCCCATCTCTGTGGAGCTGCATCCCACTGGCCGCTTCTGCTCTGGCTGCCCAGGGAGGCGAGCAGAGCTGCAGGCTAGAGCTGGGGTTTGGCACCGTGAGTCACTCAGGAATCCAGAGAAAGGTGCCAGAACCATTGCAGCACCTACTTGGGGGCCAGTATATATGGGATGGCTGCTACAGCAGAGCTGCTAAGCCCCCACACAGCACAACACCCAAATCCCACCAGGGGGTCATCAGGGCTTTCTTCTGGGGATTGAACTCGCAGTCAACTACTTGAGCATGATTTGGCCTTGGCTCGCCTCAAACCACAATCCTATCTCTGCCTCCCAAGTAGCTAGGATTAAAGGTGTGAATCACCACACCTGTCTACAACCAGAGCTTTCCCAGCTTCTTTTCCACCAGGACGGCCCTGCCAGCCATCTGTCCTCTTCTCTCTTCTAGACAGAGCGGCTGCCCTGGAGGAGGGGACTCCCAAGGAAGAAGGCCCCAGCACGCCCTTGGCCCTGGAGCCAATCAACACCCCAAGCTCCAAGAAGAGTGCCCCAGAACCTGTGGACAAGCGGGCCAAGGCCCCGAAGGCTCGCCCACCACCTCCGCAGCCCAGCCCTGCTCCGCCCACCTTTGCCAGCTGCCCAGCTCCTGAGCCCTTTGGAGAGCTGCCGGCACCTGCCGCAGCCCTGGCCCCGGCTCCGCTGGTTACCATGCCCGCCACCCGCCCAAAGCCCAAAAAGACTCGTGCTACCGAGGAGTCTGGCACCAAGGGCCCCCGGAGGCCAGGGGAAGAGGCCAAGCTGCTCGTCAAACTGGATCACGAGGGGGTCACATCCCCTAAAAGCAAGAAGGCCAAAGAGGCCCTGCTTCTGCGGGAAGACCCGGGGTCTGGGGCCTGGCAGGAGCCCAAGGGCCTGCTGAGCCTGGCCAGCTATACCCCAGCAGCAGGCAGTGGAGAGCCCAAGGCGGCCTGGCCCAAAGCCCTGGAGGGGGACCTCACCCAAGAGCCCGGGCCAGGGCTCCCCCTGGAGGACCCTCAGACTCCCAAGAGCCCAGACAAGACCCAGGCTGAGCAGGATGGGGCTGAGGAGTCGGAGACGAACAGCAGCAGCAGCAGCAGCAGCAGTAGCAGCAGCAGCAGCAGCGGCAGCAGCTCAGAGACGGAGGGCGAAGAGGATGGAGACAAAACTGGGGAGGAGGGCCGGGGCGCCGGGGGCCGGCACTGCAGCGCATCCAGCTCCAGAGCCTCCTCCCCAGCCTCTTCCTCCTCCTCGTCCTCATCTTCATCTTCCTCCTCCTCGTCCTCTTCCTCCTCCTCCTCCTCTTCCTCTTCTTCCTCCTCCTCCTCTTCCTCCTCCTCTTCGTCCTCTTCTTCCTCCTCCTCCTCTTCCTCTTCCTCCTCCACCACAGACGAGGACTCATCCTGCAGCTCAGATGACGAGGCGGCGCCTGTGCCCTCAGCCAGCCCCTCCACCCCGCCCGCCCTGCCCACCAAGGTGGCCAAGCCAGCCAACAAGGCCCGCTCCTCGGCCCACTCCCCGGGCAAGAAGGCACCTGCTGCCCAGCCCCCCGTCCCGCCACCCCAGCCCTCGCCACCCAAGGCCCAGGCTGGGGCTGGGGCCAAGAGCCGACCCAAGAAGAGAGAGGGCGTCCACCTGCCCACCACCAAGGAGCTGGCCAAGCGCCAGCGCCTGCCATCTGTAGAGAACAGGCCCAAGATTGCCGCCTTCTTACCCGCCCGGCAGCTCTGGAAGTGGTTCGGCAAGCCCACCCAGGTGACGGCTCGGGCTCCAGGGTGCTGTCCCTGCCAGACCTCCCCTCATAGCCACTCGGGGTGCGGGCAGCTGATGGCTTTAGAGCCCTGTACCTACCCAGAACCTCCCTTGCTAAGGCTTGCTAGCTGAAGCCCGGGGTCCAGTCTCGGCCAGCCCACCCTCAGCTAACAGCTCAGTGGAGCCTAAAAGGCAGTTCTGGAGGGCTGGGGTTGTGATCCCCACATCCACCCTGACAGTTGGGGGGTTGGCCTTCAGAGGAGCCCTGCCCGCCATGTAGGGCTGTCTGTTCCCACACACTTATGCATACTCACGTGTGTGTTCACAGTGCACTCCCACACGTGGGTTTGTAAAATGAACCAATATGGTGTGTGTGAGTGGCTACCCCGGTTTGCCCTGGCACCTAGAGCTTTCATCTTGCAATCTGTTTTGGGGAGCAAGGCCTTTTTTTTTTTTTGGTTCAAGTCCTGGGGCTAGAGTTAAGGCCGGGGCACTGTCCTGACCTTTTTTTTTTTCCCCTAAAGCTGGTACTCTACCACTTGAGCCACAGCTCCACATAGGGCTTTTTGTTGTTTAATCGGAAATAGGGGTTTTACAGACATTCCGTGATCCTCAGTCTCCTGAGTAGGTAGGATTCATAGGCATAAGCCACTGGCACTTGGTATTTTAGCCTCACACCGCTCAAGGTGCTGTAAGTTGGACCTGGGCAGTGAGTGGCAGCTGCCTGGCCCCAGAATGCTGGACACTGGCTTTGTAATGGCGCCAGCATCTGCCTATGTGAGGCAGAGGGACACGGGGCTCCGTCCACACTTGCTGAGCTGGGCCTGCGCAGTAGCTTATGCCTCATGCCCTGCCTCTCCTGGATCTCACTCCCGTGCCCACAATTGAGGGTTGCAGGCAGCCAGCCTGGCTTTGTAGGGTGCTGGCACCCAGTTAGGGACAGTACTGGGCCACTGCCAGCCTGCAGTGAGCGTGTGCCCATCAGGCCTGGAATAGCAGACTCTGCTGGTCCCAGTAAGAGTCCTGCAGAATCCTGCTGATAATTCCCAGGACAGGGAGGTGAAGTCCCCCTTAGCTGCAGAGCCCCTTGATGATCGCAGAGCTCCACATGTCAGAGAGGTAAAAGGAGTGTGCTGATTAGCTTTTTGTCTATTAAAAAAATCTGTGACATGCCGGGCACTGGTGGCTCACACCTGTAATCCTAGCTACTTGGGAGACTGAGATCTGAGGATCACGATTCAAAGCCAGCCCGGGCAGGAAAGTCCATGAGACTCTTACCTCCAATAAACTACCCGAAAACCAGAAGTGACTCTGTGGCTCAAGTGGTAGAGTACTTGCCTTGAGCTCAAGAGCTGAGGGACACAGTGCCCAGGCCCAGAGTTCAAACCCCATGACCCACAAAAACAAAAAAAAAACCTTTGACATAACCAATAAGGGAAAAAAAGGTTTAATTTTACTTCAGTTTTGGAGATTTCAGTCCATGGTTATTTGGGTCTGTTACTTTGGGTTTCTGATGAGACAGACAGATGGAGCAGGCTGCTCACCTCAGTGGGAAAGAGAAGGGAAAAGACCAAGGTCCCTCCCCTCCCAAGGACATGCCCACAATGACATACTTCACGCCCCAATGATTGATTTCCTCCCACTAGGCCCTGCCTCTTAAAGATTCCACCGCTTGCCAGTGAGGTCACCTGCTAGCATCCAAGCTTTGGGGGCACATTCTAGACCCAAACTTTTTTTTTTTTTTTTTTGTCAGTCGTGGGGCTTGAACTCTGGGCCTGGGCGCTGTCCCTCAGTTCTTCAGCTCAAGGCGAGCGCTCTACCACTTGAGCTACAGCGCCACTTCCGGTTTTCTGGTGGTTTATTGGAGATAGGAGTCTCATGGTCTCTCCTGCCCAGGCTGGCTTTGAACCGCGATCCTCAGATCTCAGCCTCCTGAGTAGCTAGGATTATAGGCGTGAGCCACCAGCGCCCGGCTTAGAACCAAACTTTTAACAAGGGATTTCTCCAGTTGGAGCCAAGACAACACTCCCCTCCCCTCCACTCCACTCCTTCCCCGCAGACTCCCCTGCATGGCATACAGTGGCCAGGAGTTGGGTTCCAGGAGGCCGCGGCTCCCTGGGCTGGGCCTGGCCGCTGACTGGCACCCCTCCCCTCCCCCTTTCAGCGGCGCGGGATGAAGGGCAAGGCCCGCAAGCTCTTCTACAAGGCCATCGTCCGCGGCAAGGAGATGATCCGCATCGGGGACTGTGCTGTGTTCCTGTCAGCCGGCCGGCCCAACCTGCCCTACATCGGCCGCATCCAGAGCATGTGGGAGTCATGGGGCAACAACATGGTGGTTCGTGTCAAGTGGTTCTACCACCCTGAGGAGACCAGCCCAGGCAAGCAGTTCCACGAGGGCCAGGTGAGTGTCCACCGCCGGGGATGCTTTGGGGTCACAGCGAGGCAGGGCCTGTGCCCACCCGTCCCTGTCACCCCTTCCCACCCCCAGCACTGGGACCAGAAGTCTAGCCGCAGCCTCCCCACGGCCTTGCGGGCCTCCAGCCAGAGGAAGGACTTCATGGAGGTAGGAAGGCAACACGGGGCGGGGCTGGGTGGCTTCTCCCTTCAGCCTGGCTCATGCTGGCCCCATCACTGAGGAACCTAGTGGCCACGCTGTCCCCGCCTGCATCTCTTGGTCGCTTGCTGTCTGTCCATTCTTATCCTCCGTCCCGTCTGCCCTGTGCTGTGATCCTCTGGATCTTCGCTGCTCTGTCTCTCTGGCAGTTCCTCTTGGTTTCCGTTGGTCTGTCTGCCTCCATGTACCCCTCCTCTCTGGGTCTCCGGGCCAGGTCCCTGTGGCTCAGGATGGGACAGGGTTCCCCCTCCTCGGCCCCACGCCCACCTCCATGACCCCCTCCCACGGCAGCGCGCCCTGTACCAGTCGTCACACGTGGACGAGAACGACGTGCAGACGGTGTCGCACAAGTGCCTAGTGGTGGGCCTAGAGCAGTATGAGCAGATGGTCAAGACCAAGAAGTACCAGGACGGCGAGGGCCTGTACTACCTGGCGGGCACCTATGAGCCCACCACCGGCATGATCTTCTCCACGGACGGCGTGCCCGTGCTCTGCTGAGCATGCCCGGCCCTGCCGTGCACACCCGACCAGGTGTGCATGTGGACGCCCGGCGAGTGTGTACATGTGTGTGCCCGTATGCATGCACGCGTGTGCACATGTGCACACGACCCCTCGGCGCCCCCATGGGGTTAGGTATGGCTCGGGGTGGCCCTGGCCAGGACAGGTCCTGGCTTCCCTTGGGCACCCTGTTCACACTTGGCGGGACCCCACCCCCACTCCCTTACCCCTCCACCCCTGCCTGTGCAGACTGACGTGGTGGGGGGCAGACTTCTGAGGAATTGAACAGACATGGAGCTTACCCCAGGGGCCCCCCAGCATGGGTTGGGGGTCCCCCCAATGCCAGCCAGACTCAATGACTATGCCAGGCATCCGGGCGCCTGCCATGCCCTTCTCCATGCTCTCAGGACAGCTTGGACTTGGGGAACAAGCCAGGGGGAGGGCAGCCCAGAAGTGTCACCCGGTGCCAGACCTTCACACTACAAGAACCCCCCTCCCCCCCCAAATGGTGCTGAACCCTGCGCCCGGCCACGTCCAGCCCCTCCCACGAGAGGGGCGCTCTTACCTGTACAGTTTTATTGTACCAAGAGACTCACCCGTCCTTGTATCATACGCCTTTAAATGGAGTCGACTTTTTAATTATATATATAAAGATAAATATATATAAATATATATAAACTTTTTAAAACTGTGAAAAAAATAGCTATGAAATTATAAAAGAAAAAAAAAGCAAACACATTCTGACGTGCAGAATATTATTTTTTATTTCCTGTTAGATTGTGAGTGTCTAGCACCCGGCTTCACCGCCACCCTCAATCCTTAGCACCCTGCCCTGCCCATGTGTACTGTATGCACCCCGAGATGGAGAAAGGAGAGAGGGAAAGGGGAGCCCGAGCCCAGCCCCTGCTCGGCCCAAAAGCACTTAACTAGCCCTGCGCCTTCTGGACCCCGAAGGCGTCCAGCAGACAATCTAGAGGAAAGGAAAAGCCAGACTTTGGGTTTTTTTCTTTTTTGGGGGGGGAGGGGACTATTGTTTGCCTTTTTTTTTTTAAGTTTCTTTTCGAATTTTGTTTGTTGGCAAAAATTCTGTGTGATCTTTTTCATAAAAAAAAAAAAAGATTTAATTGGAAAACTACTGTTGCTTGGAGTGATTTATTTCAGGGGTGGGTGGTTCATTCTGGGAACAGCCAGCCATTTCAGGCACTTGGAGGCAGAGGTAGCCTGGGAGCCGAGTCCTGTGGCCACTGTGTGTGTGACTTAAGTCAGAGCTTGTTTTAAGTTTAGGACAATGAAGGCTGGGAATGTGGCTTTGTAGTAGAGTGCTTGCCTAGCATGTGATTCCTTAGTGCCACATAAACAAAAAACCGGAAGTGGCGCTATGGCTCAAGTGGTAGAAGGCCAGTCTTGGTCAAAAGAAGCTCTGGGACAGTGCCCAGGCCGAGTTCAAGCCCCAGAACTGCCCCCTCCTCCCGCCAAAAAAAAAAAAAATGATACTGAGATGTCAGGCTTTCCAGTGGCACAGCTCACATTTCAGGCGTGGTGTGTCCACAAACAAAAGTGTATAGGTAAGATCACCCTCTCACTCTGGCTGTATACTTGATGCCCTGAATTCAAACTCCAGAATTGTGGGAAAATAAGACCAGAAAGGGTTCCACACACCTATCCCATACCTGGGATATCACACACACAGCCTGAGTGGGCCTGGGCCTGGCTGAGCTGGGCAGAAGTCCTGCAGCTGGGAAGGGGCTTCAGTTCTGGCCCTTAATCTGGAGTTGGGGACCTGTGATGGCAAATTTAAGCCAACCTGGGCTTGTAGAAGAGGTCCAGGAAATCAAGCATTTGCCCAGAGCACTGAGTTGCAGGAAAAACTCACGCAGCAGGGCCAGCCTACCTGCCCCAACCTGGAGGCTCAGAACACTGGTGCACCTGGTGGTGGTCTCAGGCGTTGCCCCTGGTCTTGCCCCCACCCACCCCCTCAGGGTGATTGCTTCAGGCCCAGTTGCTCTCACACCTTCCAAGGGACAAACACCACAAGCCTGCTGCTTGGGGATACTGAGGCTCAGAACAAGGCAGGAATCTGGCCAGACTGCACGTCATCCACACACAGCTGAAGGCTGAGGTTTCCAGGGTAGACACCGATCTGCCCCACCCCCAATGAGCCCTGCCCAGCCTTTGAGGCCCCCTCCCGCCCCCAGGCTGCTGTGAAGCCCCCAAGTGGCAGCCCATGCTAACTGACCCACTAGCTGCTCTCAGAGATGTGGCCTGGTGCTGCAGAACCTCCACCCCACCCCCACCCCATGTGGTAGGGCCCCCTACCACTTCCAGCCCCCCCACAAACACTCCTAGAGAGACAGCGGCAGCGGCGGGCAGTCTGTCTGCCGTCATCTTTAATGGCTAGTGCGCTAGGAGACACGCAGGTGGACAGGAGGCGGCATTGCTGGGGGTGGGGAGGGTGTTGGGGTCCCTTGGGAGGCTGTGTTTGGCAGGACACTGGGGAGCCAGCCTGGCTGTCCCGTGTCTGCAGGCCATCCCCACAGGGCAGACTAGACCACAAGTGGGTCCGGAGGAGCCAGAGGGGCCCCCACCGAGCCCTGCATCCCTCCGTGGGTAGATGGGGGTGATCGCAGCGTGGGGTGGACACTTGAAGCCAGTGTCCATATGCCATCCCCCCAGGGGCTGCTGCAGCTAGAGTAAATGGGACTAAGAACAGGATGCAGGGGGGCCCAAGAGTTGCCAGACTGAGGCCCCCCCCCCATCTCAAGCCGACCCTGGGGCACTCACATTGATGAAGGAGGCACTAAGCTTATGGTTGGCCGTCCTGGCTGGGGGCAGCTGAGTGCTGACCTGGCTAGGGCAAAAGCCACTGGACAGCAGGGGGGGGGGGGGTGAGACAGGACACGGGACACAGACCGGGGGGGGGGGGGCGCACAGAGCCCCGCTCCAGGCCGGAGAGAATGGCTGGGCCCAGGCAGGTGCCATCACTGGCATATGAGGCCGGGGGAGTCCCCCGCAGGCACTGAGGCAGGGGCAGGAGGGAGCCTCAGGCCTCGGGGAGGGGAGGCCCTCATCCAGCCCCAGAGGCTCCCACGCCTGGGGCTTCGGGCAGGGGCAGGGCTGGGCTCAGGGCCCGGTGGGGACGGAGCCATTGGTGGTGATGGTGTGGAAGCAGCTGCTGTGGGCTTCGCGGGTCAGGCTGTAGGTGCAGTAGGCCACGGCAGAGCCCAGCGTCAACCCCGACATGTACGACACCGTCATGGTGTTCCCTGTGGACAAGACTGGCCTGAAGGTGGAGACCAGGGGGGGCCCCAGAATACTCCAGCGCCTCCAGCAGTCAAGACGGACCCCAACACCAGCACATGCTCCCAGCTCTGTGGAAGCCTTGTCCTGTCCTGGACCTCCCTGGGCACTGGTGCTCCGGTCAGATCCCACCCTCCCCTGTTCCCACCCCTTCACCCCAGGAACACAAATATGCTCCTGGGCCTCAGGTGACCCCCTCCAACCTGAGGTGCACCCTCGGCATCCTCAACCACTTCCTCCAGCTCGTGGATCCCAAGTCACCTCCTCAGTGAGGCCTTCTAGGATTTCTTAGACTTTCATTCTATTGCTTCCATTTCTCAGATTAGTGTTTCCCCACACACACACCTTACCCCTATGGGAAGGTTTGAACTCAGTACCTCAGGCTTGCTTGTCTCTGCTCACTCGGCACTGTATCAATTGAGCCACAACTCAACTCGAGCCTGGCATTTTGCTAGCTCATTGGAGACGTACTCTTGCAGACTTTTCTGCCCAGACTGCCCTCAAAATGCAATCCTCTACATCTCAGCCTCCTGAGTAGCTAGGATTACAGGTGTGAACCACCAGCACCTAGCTGAAATAAGAGTGTCTGCATGAGATGACTGACAGCTGTCTGCACATCTACAACCTTCCTGGTGTCAGCTTGACCCCCAGAACCAAATGCACTTTGAAGCAGGCTGCCCTCTGGCTTCTCCTGGCCTCAGTCCCTCCCCCCCTCCCCCCACTGGGGGAAGACTGCACTGTGGGGGCAGCCGCCTTACCTGCCAGCTCCCGCTGCTTGGGGCTCACTTTGCCAGCTGCCAAGATCATGGGCACACTGCCGAAGTAGCCATTGCTAATGCCCATGAGCAGCGAGAAGACGCAGGGCCAGGCCGGGTGGCGGAGGGCTGGCATGCCGCTGGGGTACACGCACAGGATGAAGAGGGGGATGAAGACCACACGCAGGCAGGAGCAGGCCAGCAGGTGTGTGCCCCGCCAGTCCACAGGCAGAGCTGCCAGGATCTGCAGGGAGCCGGGCCTGTGGGTTCCCTGCCTGGCATCCCAAATCCCATTATAACAGCCAGACTTGATGCTGGCTAGGCAGGGGCTCTACCTCATGAGTCACGGCCCCAGCCACAAACCACGCCCCAATAGGTAACCACGCCCCTATCGTGTAAAGCCACACCCCAGCCCATTTTGCTGTAATTTTCCAGATAGTCTTTCATGTTTGCCCACCTTGGCCTTTAACCACTTTCATCCTACCTATGGCTCTCACACTTGGCTGGGATTACAGTCATGAACCACCCCTACCCTTGCTAGGTGGAGCCTGGGCTTTCTTTGATTAATAAAGGCACCAAGGCCTGAGTCTCAATGCTTCAAGCAGTAGAACAGCAGGATTAGGAGTCAGACCCAGGAACTCAGTCAGCCTTGCTGTCTCTGGTCGCACTGACTCACTTCCTGGACCCCCTCAGCTGTGTGCCTCTGGGAAAATAGCTGCACCTCTCTGAGCCACATGCTCATCACCCATTAAGACAAGAACCATTCTGCATGAATCCTTGCATCAGATTCTTCTGGGCTGCTGGCTGCCAGCCTTGTCTGCCCAGGCAGCAGAGGATGTGTTGTCTACTTGGAGCCATTTCAGGGTGTTCCCCAACTCACTCTGCTCCAGGTCTCTCTGTTGGCCCACATCATCCCAGGGAGCCAGTAACTAGAGGCCATGACGCTGAAAGAAGGGGGGGGGGGGCTGAACCTGGCAGATGCAGGTCTGGGGACCAGGCCTGGGGACAGTTCCATGGCCTGGCTGCCACTCCACAGGGGACCTGCGTGTGTGCTCAGCCTGGGTGGTTCAGGGCCTCCCCGGGGCGGCTCACCTTGCCCACGAAGTCAGACAGGTTGAACACAGCCATGACCAGGATGGGCAGCCACTCGCCCAGCACGCAGTGGCGGATCTCGGACTCCAGGCCGGGGAAGAGGCACAGCGTGATGAAGTAGGTCACCGCGATGGATAGCATGTCAGCCCAGATGACCCGTGCCACCACGTACCGGTGCAACAGCAGGGCTGGGGGGAGGGGGAAGAGGGGGGAGGGGGGTATGTGGGTAGGTCAAAGGGCAGAGCCTGTGGGGGAGGGCCATGCCCAGGGTTCCCCTCACCTCTGAAGGTGGGCCAGCTGCGCTTGGCTCGGGGCCGGGGCACATCAAAACGCACGTAGGCTCCACTGCTGCCCCCTGATGGCTCATGGGCTGGGCTGTCCTTTGGGGACCCACTGGTGGTCAGGGCTGGGGCTTGGTGTTCCTGGAGAGAGGGACAGAAGGGAGCCAAGTTTGGTGATGGGATGGATGGGGGGGCAAAGCCCAGCATCCCAAGCCCAGGAGAAGAACAGCACATTGAGGTTGGCACACAACTGGCGCCTACTATATGCAGACACCTTCTCCATCCTTATCAAGATTTCACGCCTGTCATCGTAGCTACTCAAGAGGGTGGCATCTGAGGATCACGGTTCAGAGCCAGCCCAGGCAGGAAAATTGGTGAGACTCATCTCCAATAAACTACTTAGAAAAAAAGGCAGAGCGCTAGCCTTCAGAAAACGAATCTCAGGAACAGCACCCAGGCCCAGAGTTCAAGCTCCAGGACTGGAAAAAACAAAAATAAACCTTCAGAGACAGCCCATTCCATCTGGTGACCCCCATCCTGCTTCAGGCCTCACTAAGCACCAGCCACTCAAACCGCCTCCTTCCAGCACCCTGCTCCCCAGCTGTCCCTACACTACTCCAGCCCCTAAGCTTTGCATACATGCTTCTTCCACCCATGCTGTCTGTGTCTTCCCCTCCAGGTGACCATCACAGGTTCACTGCGCTGATAGG